AAAACACGGGTGGAAAACAGAACATGTAATTGAATCTTTTTTGTGAAGTAAGCAGTATCAACTAATTAGTCACCATGGTATTACTGCAAAGTGATCTCATGTTACTGCAGTAAAGCATTGTTCAGAATATGGTAGGAGAACCAATTGAAACTTCTTTGCCTCCCTGTGATGAGGGCTCCACCCTTCCCCTGATTGATTAGGGTCAGCTTAGTTTCTGGAATCTGCTTTATTGTTCTTTTTCTTTTCTTGTGACCACCTTCTTTTTAGGAGAAGCTTTGATGCTGACTGTATGGCTCTTTCTGTAATTCTGTGTTGTCCTTTTCCAGTAGTTCTCTGTCTGTCTGTCTCACTCAAATAAGGAAAATTATTAATGAAATATTTTAAAATTCTTAATATTTGTTTAAGCATTTTTGTTATTTTGGTGGATCAGTCATCTGAATCCTTGAAGAGGCACATAAATTTAGCATTTGTTATTGTTCCCGTGACTTTGAATTAACAAATGTTGTTGGACTTACTTCTGTGCTTTTCCATTTATGTTTCAGCACTAAGTTTTGCTTGTGAATTTATTTTAGGCGGTGCTTAAGAGGCTCATGACTGATGTCCCGTTTGGAGTGCTGTTATCTGGAGGGCTGGACTCATCACTTGTTGCTGCCATAGCTTCCCGTCACCTAGCCAATTCAGAAGTTGCTTGCCAGTGGGGGTCACAGCTACACACCTTCTGCATTGGTTTGAAGGTCTTAATACTCACTTTCATGTGGCTCAGCTATACATTCCATATCCTCTTACTATCTTGGTTTTCTTCCTCCCTGGGCCATTAATTAATGAGTGAATTTGTAAACGATATGCCTGTTGATTAGATATATTTGTTATTACCTTAAATGCTAACTGATTGATAAATCAAATTCTTCTTCTTTGGTGCTTAATAAATAAAATTCTGCAACTATTCATTGAAGAATGCTGTATACTTGCATGGTGAACTGCTACTAGTAATATGCAAATTAATTTTACTAATATCTACATCCTTTCTCTTTCTAGTTGTTGGGATGAATTTCTGCAGCTTTTAATAGCACACTCTACTTGATCTTTTTTTTTCAAATATAACTTGATTTTTTTATCGCTTTATTTGTATTATCTGTGACATTTTCTTATTCAGGGTTCTCCTGATCTTAAAGCTGCAAGAGAGGTAGCAGATTATATTGGAACTCGTCACCATGAGTTTCATTTCACTGTCCAGGTAATTTCCTGCTTCATTCCAAAAAAGAAAGAATATGTTCGTTTGAACTTTTGGGCCTAAATGATTGAGATTCTTTCTCCTATTTTGACCTATCAGGAAGGAATAGATGCTTTGGAGGAAGTCATCTACCACATTGAAACGTATGATGTGACAACTATTAGAGCCAGCACCCCCATGTTTCTTATGTCAAGAAAAATCAAATCTTTAGGAGTGAAAATGGTTCTTTCAGGGGAAGGTTCTGATGAAATTTTTGGAGGTTACTTGTATTTCCATAAAGCACCTAATAAAGAGGAGTTTCATGAAGAAACATGCCGAAAGGTATTCCAGATGACTCTTACTTTTTTTTTCCTGGATTTTAGTTAAGGAACTTGTGGAATTGATATATTAGGCTTGATTATCTGACTACCTTTTGTATAATTTTGGCTTTCTGATGGTGTTCTAATAATTCAACAGATCAAAGCTCTTCATCTTTATGACTGCTTGAGAGCAAATAAAGCAACTTCAGCATGGGGAGTTGAGGCTCGTGTACCCTTTTTGGATAAAGAGTTCATTAATGTTGCAATGAGTATAGATCCAGAGTGGAAAATGGTATGATACTTGTAGATTCTTCATTTGCATTACATTCTCTGGTTTAAGTGTTGAGAAAAGGGGTGCTGTGTCCATCTATACTGGAATAAATTAGACACAAGCTTTATGGCCTTCACATGAGAATAGTAATGAACACATAGAGTTTATTGTCCATATTAGCTTTACTGTTTATTGTTCTATCTCCAGTTTTTCCTTCATGGTTATCATTCCTGGTTTCATTTGGTCATTTGTGGGGTTAGCATTTCACTTTGTAATGTGGTGTCATTGGCCATTCTTAAATGCGAGATATATTTTAGTTTTGGGTGCTTTCATCCAGTGTGTAAGGTGGTAGTTGGTTTTCTAAGTTTTTGTATTCGATAATGAGCTGATGCAAATGATAAGTGTGGATCAGTTACTGGATCAATACTTGCTAGTTTCTCATGTTGGTGAATGAAGAGTTATAAAATTTAGTTTTATATTTAGACATTCTTTGTGCAAGGGAATGTAACCTACACTTGTGGTTATTTAATTAAAATTTTTTCAGATAAGGCCTGATCTTGGAAGGATTGAGAAGTGGGTGTTACGTAATGCATTTGATGATGATCAGAAGCCATATCTGCCAAAGGTGGGTAAATCTGCTTTTGCAACATTTTTGTCATCTAGCAAATGTACTGGGCTTTATCATTTTTTCTGGTCCTGTTTCCTTTGACTATAAAAATTTACCGGAAGTAGTTGTTCTTGAAACTGCCTTTTTCCTCTGTTCCAGCACATTTTGTACAGGCAGAAAGAGCAGTTCAGTGATGGAGTTGGGTACGGTTGGATTGATGGTTTGAAGGACCATGCGGACAAATTGGTAGGCTTAATTGTTTGTAGTTCTTCCGGGAGACATTTTCCGCTTGGCTGCATAAAACCAATCTATTGTTTCTAAACTTGACAGGTCACCAATGCAATGTTGATGAATGCAAGTTTTATCTACCCTGAGAATACTCCAACCACAAAAGAGGGATACTATTACAGAACTATCTTTGAGAAGTTTTTTCCCAAGGTGTTGTATTGTTCAATCTCTATTTTTCCATCCATTTCTTCTATGTGTATCTTGAAAGGGGCATGTAGCAGCGTATTCCTCTCAATGGAATTAATTTTATGTCCCTCAAGTTCACAACTAGAAATTAACTTCTATCCCTTGAGAAGAAATGGGATTCTTAGCCAACAAAGGTGTAAAAAAGGCCTAGATATTGTGAGATTATTAGGCATGTGAGACTCTAATTCAGACCAAACAAGAATAAAAGATGCTTTATGTGATTAAAATAAATTCTGAAAGATTTTCTGAACGAAAAACACGTCCAGCATATATTTTTTATTTTGTCTGTTCCTTGGTCGATTTCTTGATATTGGTTATTAATCCTCCAATTACAAGCAGAATGCTGCAAGGTCAACCGTTCCAGGAGGTCCAAGTGTGGCCTGCAGTACTGCTAAAGCAGTGGAATGGGATGCAGCATGGTCCAAAAATCCTGACCCATCTGGTCGTGCTGCTCTTGGTGTTCATACCGCTGCTTACGAGGAAGCAGTGGTTGTCAAGCCCGCTGATCTGAACAATCGTGCTCCCCAGAAGGTACAAAAAGGAATTGTCGAAAAGACTGCAACAGTTGCTTAGGGGAACTTACTGAGCATCTTTATTTGACAGCTGACTAGTAGACCAAGTTGGTTGCTGAAGTGAAAAGGTATTTTATTTCACTGCCAATTGTTAAATTCTATATTGAGATAAAATCGGCATTGACTAACACTTTTATTTCTTTGGCTAACCAATGTTGATGATATATAAATGTTCTAAAGAAGCTGCCATAGTTGAATGATTTGCTAATGAAAAGCATTTTACATGTAATTGCCTCAGTTTGATTGACATCAATTTTGTACCCAATTCTGTGACAGATATTTACAACAAGCACTTCGCATCTTGAAGTGCTGCAGTGTAATATCAATCCAAACGTTGGAAGCTGCTTTCGTATATTGAAGCCTTTCTCCTTTCCCCCTCGTTTCTCCCCTTTGGTATTGAGCTCTTGGTTAGGCTTTGTAGGGTTGTTGGTTCATCATCAATCGGTACTAGCTTCTTGTTCTGGGTTTCTGTTGCAGGTTGCAACTTGTAATAACTAATACGTTGTGTAATGTTGTTTCCTCTTGTGTGAATATTTATTTCTAGTATTTGTTGCATGCACAGCCAGGAAGAAAAAATAGAAAGAAGAAAAAGCTGCAAGCTTCGACCTTTGAACTTTCTTCCAAGTTTAATACTATAAGCCTATACAATCCTTTTTTCGTTCTCCTTTCCCCTTCAAAAGAAATAACGAAAGGCCAATCCCGCATCCTCCATCTTACAGGCTTGAAGGATGCATTGCGGAAGATTTAAAATTTCAAGCTAAAGCTGAGGCTTGGAGAAAATCCTGTTTTAAAGGCAAAAAGATTCTTCAACATTTGCTAATTAACCATAATTGAACTTGTCGATGTGCAAGATAATGAAAGATCTATTGTATGACGTGCCCAGAAAGAGAGTCCATCATGCTAATATTTGAGTTACTTAAAGCGAGTGAGCAATGAAGTTACCAACAGCATTGATTAAATGAGAGAACAGCTGGCAGCTAATTGATAAAGTTACCAAAAACATATTAATTTGGAGGCTTAAAATACATATATATATATATAGTTGAATGTGCCCATTTTCTTGCCTATCATATACATTAATAGATACAAAGTAATTGGTAGAAGAAATCATATAAATTTTTTTTTGAATTTGCCTTTCAAGATAGGTAAATATATTAGAGGATGCACGTGCATAAAAATCTACTGAAATGTACATTTTCGTTATTTTTTAATTACATTAGTTGACACAAAGTACTTTTGTAATTTTGTCTATAAACTCAAATGACCTTCCTGCATAAATTAAAATTCAAAAAAAAAAAAAATAACCCAAACAGCCACTATAGTAAAAATTCTATATACGTTTACCATTTAGTTAAAATATTTGGAGGTCAAAACTCCACTTTCATCAGGAAATGCCAGAATTGAATAATGGCATAATACACGTATGACTACAGACGATATAATGGAAATGGATTGCAGAGTCCTTACATCCATGCATCACAACTACAGTAGAATGCTAGTGCATCAACTAGTCATTAATCACTCTCCAAAGAGAATAAGCAAGTAATGAGCAAGAACTGATCAACTAATTTTGCTGAAACGCATCGTCAGTAACATTCACCCACAATTCAACTTGTGCCAGACACTGTAAAGTATATACATATGCATTTGTAGTATATACAAGGCTGGGCATCTATGTACAATGCATAACAAAAAGGGAACAACATGTACGATGAAAGATTCCACTTCCTGTTGTTAATTCAGTCAACACAAAGGTAGAGATGATTGTGCCAAAGGAAAAGCCACCAGTATCACTGGTGCTCAATCATCACATTGGCCTCATGCTGCAAAGATGCTTTACCACCGACAAATTCCAGGCGTCTCTGTTCTGCTTAAAGCAAGTATTTCCTCATATTTTGATCCATATACAAAGCCCCACAACTGCGAGACGAGGGTAAAGTTTAGGAACTTGTTCTATTAAGATCATGTTTTGGGATCAAGTTACAAAGAGACCACATGTAAATTAGGGAACCGAACAGAACAGTGACATGGGTGTGGAATGGAGAGAGAGAGAGAGAGAGGAATCACGCATACCTCAATCTCCTTCACTTCAAAGTCTTCAGAGAATGCAAGACACGGGTTTCCATAGGTTTCTGAGAATGAGCTTGACCCATTCAACCTTACAGAAAAATTTGAATATTTCAGAAAGCAGTGTTTGATTGTCAAGTTTGCCAGCACCAAACTTATTTCTTACGAAAAGAGATCTGATTAACACGAGAATTCTATTTAAAAAGAGGGAGAAAGAGAAGGGAGATGGGGACAGAGGGTACTAGATATTTTTACTTAAAAGAACAAGTTAGGGGCAGATATCTCACAGATCACCATCTAGATAGAGTGCAAAATGGCCACCACCGCCAATTGCCAGAAATTCAGTGGAACACAGAGTGAAATATCGATTCGCACCTGTTCCATATTTGCAGTTAGATCCACCAAGTTTACTCAGAGAGAAACTGTTGTAAACACCAAAGAAAGCTGGAACAGTGAATCATTAGCCCAATCCCCCTTGCAGAGCAGGTCAAACATGCATGAGTGCTATGCCATTTCAGCTATCAATATACTACATACTAACACAGACACAAACTTTCATTTGATAGTACCTTTTTCAACACCAGATGCTCTGACTTTTAAACAGCTAAGAATCAAAATACTGTGACAATTTTGAAATGGTAGACAAAGATGGAAATACCTGTGGGACGGAATACAGCCGGGTCACCGGGTCTATTTGTGAAAACAAAGGTACTATTTGTTCCCTGTTGAAAATGTAATGTCAACAACATATTATACGAAATATCTGCTGGATACAAGAAGTGTTTTCTAGCATCACCTGGTATTTCTTATTAGTTGGTTTTAGGGGTGCCTCAACCAGTCCACCAAACACTGCACCTTTACGGTCTCCAACAACCTAAGAGAAAATAAATGCCATGATCTAAGTCGAACAGATTCATCATAGACAGAAAATAAACATGCCTACATGCATGCTAACATGAAGTATTAGTGGTGCAGCCAAATCACTAATACGAACAATTATATCACAATTGAAATAAGAATCAATCATCACCTACTCTCAAGTGGACACATATCAGATTAATGTCTTTCTAGGACTCTCGAAGTCCAAATACAACTCATAGATGCCCAAGCACCGTTTACTTGAAAATAATAGATAAATAAAGTAAAAATAGAAGCATGGAAAACCGAAATTGAGAAAATTTTGCAGATTATAACAAAAGGTGATTTATTTTTCACTAGAATAGAAGGTGGAACTGAGAACCTCTCTCAATAGTCACTAATGAGATATAATTACAGTAATTTTAATCAAAAGGCAACCTTAAAGTTGAACTGGGGTACAAAAGAAACGGGATCCAGGTTCAAAGGTTATTGTGCACTACATAGGTGTGATGGCACAAAATTTACCACAAGTCCACAATTATGGATGTAAATTGACTTCCTTGTCTAAGGGCTTGCATTGGGCAATAAGACCAACGAGGATCTCAGACATCAGGTATGTTATAGGTTATGAGCTTCATTGTTCAAGTATAGATGCAAAATAAATTGGATTTAAAAGCTATAAGGATCCTAGACATAGTCACACAGGAGAACCTTTTACTATGATAGAATTAGTTTTTGGACAATATGTATTCATAAAGTTAAAGGTACAGACATAACCCAAGAGGACTAATGTCCTGCATTGGAACATGAGAACAACATTCCTGTCCATCATGATGCAAATGATTATTCATATTTATGACAGTATGGCTGCATTATAGACATGTGAAATATGATATAAAAGCAGAGAGAAAAGTAATCTTCAGGAGAAAGTCATTTAAACATTACCAGCAAACTGAGGCCAGGCCAGAGCATGCTTCTCCTGTACAATGTTGACAATGATATACCATGCCTCCAAGTACTGTGAAGGCCGACAGAGATATATCAATGAAAGAAAAATAACTTTTCTTCAATATAGGCAAAACTATATCCAAAGAAAGACCAAATTCAATCCTACAAATGGAAAACCAATGCCATTCACCTGTAGAGCAATAACCACTTTCTGCCTTGAACAAGAGCTGGAAGTGAAGCATAAAGAGCACTTCTTGTTTTCTCAGTAAGAAGCAATGATGGCTCAGAAGTTTCTGGAAGATCTCCCAAAGCCAAAGGTTCCTTAACATTTTGCAAATGCCTCATCTCAAGCCCATCAAATTGAGCATCAGCCTCATCATCAATTTTCATGTCAGAATCACCCTCGCGGTCTTGATTTTTGTATCCACTAATCCTAGTAGCTTGGTAAAGAACTCTAAGTGATTGCTTACCCCTAGAAAGTAAGCTTTTCCTTCCACCATTCTCTTTCATTATTGTGTCAGATGATGCATCACCAGTTTCCTCTGGACTATCATTTTGCTCCAGATTCAGATTTTGACCTGAATCTGAAGAAGACAATAGCGAATAAAGGAATGCAGTAAAGGAAGATGTATCAGGGCCATCAACTAGATCCCTGTTATCCTCTTCGTTGATTGACTCTGGTTGACTTCTTTTAGACTCGCTCACATTTTCCTATCAAAAAAATAAATAAATAAATAAACAAACCTATACAATTAAAATTTGAGGATTGCAGGCTCTCAACATAGTGACACTTCAAAACATATTAACTAGTCATAGCCATCCACCTCTTTGGACAAGGTTGTGCTTCGTGGGGAAGTTTTTTATTGCAGAAAAGTTTCAAATCACAACAGGAAGCCTACAATAAAACCTGCACTTTTAAACCATTGCTGAAGTTTTGGCAAAGAATTTTAACAATCAGTCCAATAATTCCAATTAAAAGAAATGATTTCCCAGGAAGAAAATCTGACAAGGAAAAGAGGCATTCTTACAAAACCAAAACATGAATAATCAAAAAAATCAAGAGTATAACAAAACTATAGCTGAACTGCCCAAAATCAAACTTTATAAGGGCTGTTGACTAAACATCAAAACAAGGCATCTTCATCATCATCATCGCCATCATCATAAACATTCAAACCCTCCAAAGGAAAAAAAGGGGACAATATACAGAGAGAGCAGCAAAAGGGGAGGGGAGGGGGGGGGAGAGAGAGAGAGAGAGAGAGAGAGGAGAGAGAGAGACTTACAGGAGGAGGGTGGGGAGGCTTGGAGGGTTTATCAGGATGGGGTTGAGAAGGCCAGTGGTGAGATCAGTCACAAAGTGAACAGCTTTGCTCCTCAAAGACTTTTTCTTTCCCATTTCCTTCCTTATTATTCAATATACGGAAGATGAGATTTTTACACCACAAGTTCCCACCTTCTTTGTTAATTGGAGTGGTGTCTGATTCTATATTCCATTCATATTCTCAAAAAGAGACTTTTTCTTTTGGTTGGCTTCTACCAATTTGCCAATACACCAAATTCAGCGACAAAACCACCCTAAGTAATAATATGATATCTTTCTGGACAAACTATATTCCCAGTTTTATTTCTCTTTCTTTCTGGTAGCCGGAGCAAAGGAAAGAGACAGAGTATGCTTAAAGTAATTCCTTTAAAATTGTTAAGTGCTCCATTCTGGCCTTTGGGCTCCTTCAAAGCTATTGACAGTTGACAGAGTCTCCCATTCCTTTCCCTATTCTACTATGTGTATATATATATAAAAACGCGCGATTTGGCTACAACCTAGACTCCATGGCCCAATGGATAAGGCGCTGGTCTACGGAACCAGAGATTCTGGGTTCGATCCCCAGTGGAGTCGGCTTTAACGTGCGGAAGCTAGAAGCTTTCTGATCCTCAGTATTAAATTCAAAATGCTTCCTAATTGTCCGTTTAAAGTTGCTTTTCCATTTTTCTACGTTCAAAAAGTTAAACATGAGGGTTTTTTCTTTTTCTCATCTCCTTTTAAGGGTTAGGATTAGGAGTTGAAGAAAAATCAAAATCAAGGAAAGGTATTTGAAAGAGAGAAAAGTTGAGGAGAATTTACAACATGTTCCAGATGGACTGAAAGAGATTGATCAACTGCATCCTTTGACAATAGAATAACCCTTTTTTACTATTAACCAATGAAAATTTCAATGGTCTGAGATTAACAAACCTAATCAAATCTTGCCTTAAGGTGTAATGCAAACTTAGATAATAATTTTTTTTCCACTTTCACATGTAACAAAATTTTTTTAAAAAAAATTATAAAATAAATTATTTATTTACATAACAAATTACTATAGAACAAACATAACATGCATGATTGTTCTTAATAGTTCTCGATATACCATGTCATTGTATATTTATAATTAAACTTATATGTTCACATTAAGTTACACTAATTATGCATTGTGAATAATTGAACTCCAAATTCAAACAAAAGGTTTTTCAATTGCTGAACTACCTGTCAATGAGCATATAAATAATGTTGAGTTTTGAGTCAATAATATATATATTGTTATGAATAAATATGTGAATGTTCATTATCTTATAATCTAAGAAGTGAAAACTAAGTCAAACAGTTTAATAATATGATTTGAACTCTTAGATAAAATTAGATTAGAATTATGATTCAAGGGGTTGTTGGCCAATAAATAGATCTTTCACTTCATTTGTAAATACACACTTGAATAAGATCTTTTTACTCTCTCTAAATATTTTTCTCTCTAAATACTTGTTTTTATATTTCTCTTATAGTTATTTTTTCATATTTATTTGATAACACATTATCAGCATGATTCTCGTATCTCTTAAGTTTTAGAATTATGATGATTATTATGTTTTCATCATCTTCAAGTTTCAAAAGGATTTTAATGATTGGATCTTAATTTTTTATTTTAAAAAATCAAGTAAGTGACTTAATATCTCTTTAGTAGTTTCGTTCCCTAGAAATCAAACTTAATATGAATTTTATTATCAGGTTATATATATTATATTTCATCCCTTGATTGGAAAGTGAATTTACCATTTTATAGCTATTAATGAAAAATTATGAATGTTTATTCCCTAAACTGAATGCGATATTATTTAATAATTATAGTCATAATCACGAATCCATCAATTCCTTGAAGTAAATACAATATCATTTAATAATTATGATGTCCATACTAATATATATTATCATTATTTTAATTATAATTTTACTACCAGAGGTGGATGGATAATTTTATTATTAGAATTTAAAATAATTTTACTACTAGAAGTGGTTAGATAATTTTACCATCGAAAGTGGACGAATGCCTTAACCCATTAAAAAATAGATAATCCATAAAAAATGGATAACTCATCATATGTGGATCACCCACTAAAAGTGGATGTATACCTATAACCTATCACAAGTAGATGAATACTTTCAAAGTACCATAAGTGATGAATAATGAAAAGATAAAAATAAAAAAATAAAAAAATATAGAAAACATATTCTCATTGATATGGCATGAAAGATTATTGGTCACGCACATGTTATACGTTTTGTATTTTATCAAGCATTACCGAAAACAATAAGATCTTGTGATGTTTTATTGTAGCCACATTTATATAGCAAATTAAGATATTTGTCCACTTTGAAAGAGGAATTGATTATATGATTGGTAACGAAAATATCCATTGTTAATTTTCTTATTCTGAAAAAGGAATTGATCATTTAATTGGTAATGAAAATATCCAAAAATGAATTTAATAGTAATTGGTATATTTTAGTATAATTATATTATGAAGATACTTTAATATGTTTTCATTATTTTTAAATGATATGTTCTTATTTTGTGTTTTAATTATGTATTTAATGTTATTTGATGTTAACTTGTAAATTTTTTATTGTATATATTTTATTTTATTGAAAAAAATATGAATATTCATCTTGTTAAATCCAAGATCTATGATATAAATATATGTCTAGTAGACATTACTACAACACACATTATATATTTAAAGACAAGAAATATTTTTCCTACTTGACAATGAAATAAAATCAATGTCAATTTAATATCTGGTAGTATACAATTAATTGAAGGTTTCGAAAGAGTTAATATTTTACTACCTTGAGCAATAAAGTAATAAATGATGTATTATTTTCTATTAAGTCTCAAAGAAGTTTATTAAGTTTCAAACATATTAATCTGATAGATATCATATTGATACAACAAATGAAAGAGACAATTAACATCTCTATATTACATCTATTATCTCAAGTAGAAAGTGTGTTGAAAAAAAAATTACTCGCTCTATTCTCAAAATTATACTACACAAATATTAGAATAATTGAAACTCATAGTAAACTAGAAAGTTACTAATGATTTTAATATTTGGTATGACCGGTTGGACCATTTCGGATCAATAATGATGTAAAAAAAATAATTAAAAATTTATATGATCATTCATTAAAAAATCAGAAGATTTTTCAATTTAATGAATTTTTATTTGTTACTTACTCTAAAGGCAAATAAATGCTAAGGCTATCATTAACTAATGTTGGGACTAAATTTTTTATGTTTTTTGAATAATATCTAAGATTATATGTAGATTCATACATCCACCATGTGAACCATTTAGATATTTTATAGTTTTAATCAATGCATCGACTAAATGGTCACATGTGTGCTTCTTATCAGCTTGCAATTTAGTATTTGCAACCATTTATTTGTAAGTACATTTTCTTAGTTATATAATCAAGATTATATGTCTTAACAATGCTGGTGAATTTACATCTTAAGTCTTTAATATTGCATATTAATTGAAATAACTATTGACTGTTGCTTATGTTTATACACAAAACGATCTAACAAAATCGTTTATTAAACACTTTCAACTAATTGCAAGGCCATTACTTTTGACATTCAAACTCCCAATATTTGCTTAAGGGCATGTCACTTTGGATGCAGCAACTTTTATATGCATAAGGCCAAATGAGTTATTATAAATTCTCCCTATGCAATTGGTTTATCATAAGGAACCAAATATTTTTCATTTAAGAATTTTTAGATGTGCAGTATATATTTCAATTGCTTCACCACAATGCACAAAGATGGGTCCTTAAAGAAGGTTAGTAATATATGTTGGATACTAATATTTATTTGTAATTAAATATTTAGAATCATCAATAGGAGATTTATTCATGACAAAGTGTGTCAATTGTCATATTGATGAAATAATTTTTTCAACATTAGAGGGAGAATAATAAACAACTGCAAAAGAAAATTTCTTAGAATGAATTATCATTATCTAGTTTTGATCCTTGCACAAATCAATATGAACTTGAAGTTCAAAAGATAATTCTTTTGTAAAATATAATAAATCAGTTGGCAGACATATTTACTGACCTAAAAGAATAACTAAATCTTATATACCAACTGTAAATACTCCAATTAACATTAATATCCTTGTAGGACAAGGCACACCAAAAGCATAGAAACCAATAAGTTTCAAAATAAAATCCTAAAAAAATAAAAGCAAAATTTAAAATGGTAAAAAAAAAAGAAAGTAAAAACTCTAGAAGAGACCATTGACAAAATTGATAAACATTCTAAAAGAAATTTAAGTACCTAAAATTAGTAAAAATAAAGAGATCTCAATAAGTTATGTCATGATGGGAAATGATAGAACCAGTAAATAAGCATCGATGATATTTGTATCTTATATAGAGCTTAATATTATAAAAGAAAAACGAGGATCTTGAACTTATATTTATTAAAGAATGTAAACATAGAAGTAATTGGCTAATGTGGAAAGACGCAATTAAGGAATAATTGAATTTATTTGCAAAACGTGAAGTTTTTAGACCGTACATTAAATTATGTAAAACAAATGAGATATAAATGAGTATTTGTGCGAATTTAAAATGAGGAAATTGAGATTATGAGATATCCCAAAGATATGGTATTAAACATGAAGTGATATATTCTTTATGGTGAATGCAATTGCAATTCTATATTAACTAGTCTGGTAGTATATGAAAAGATTGAAATAGGTCTAACGAATGTAGCTACAACCTATTTATATGGCTCATTTGATATCGATATCTATATGAAAATCTCTGAAAGATTTAAGTTGCCTGAAACACAAAATTTGAATTCTTGAAAAATTTATTCGATCAAATTAAATAAATTTTTTTATGGATTAAAGCAATTCAGACACATATAGTATAATCGCCTTAGTGAATATTTGTTAAAAAAAAGCTATAAAAATAATTCTATATATCCATATATTTATAAAAAGATTTAAATCTAGATTTATTATAATTACTGTTTATGTTGATGACTTGATCACTATTGAAACTCCTAAAAAGTTATCAAAAGCCATTGATTACTTAAAGAAAGAATTTAAGATGAAAGACTTTAAAAAAATAAAGTTTTGTTTGGGTCTTTAGATTGAACACTTGACAAATGAAATTTTTGTCCATCAATTTAATTATATAACAAAAGTGCTAAAACAATTTTATATGGAAAAAGCATATATATTAAGTTCACCAATTGTTGTAAGGTCACTAGATGTAAAAAAAAACTTTTTTTGATCTTGTGAGGATAATGAAGAACTTCTTAGTCTTAATGTACCGTATCTTATTACAATTGGAACATTAATATATCTTGCTAGCAATACATAACTTGATATATCAATTTCTGTGAATTTATTAGTAAGATATAGTTCTTCTCCAACTCGAAGATATTGGAATAGAATTAAATATATATTTTGATATCTCCGAGAAACAATAGATATGGGCTTATATTATTTGAATGCAACAAAATCAAATTTAATTAATTATGCAAATGCAAAATATTCATTTGATCCACAAAAAGCTCGATCCCAGATAGGTTACTTAATCACATATAGAGGTATGGCTATTTCATGGCATTCTATAAAGCAAACTATAGTTGTTATTTTTTCTAAGTATGTAAAAATTTTAGCAACTTATGTGGCAAGTCATGAATGTGTTTGGTTAATATCTATAACTCAACATATTTGAGAAACACATGGCTTGTCAACTAAAAAGAAAATTCCAACAATGTTATATGAGGATAATACTGATTGCATAGTACAATGAAAGGAATGATACATTAACGACAATAAGACAACACATAGTTCACCAAAAATTCTTCTTCACTTATGTTTCTCTAAGAAAATAGTGAAATTAATATTTAATAAATTCAATCGAGTGACAATTTAACAGATTTATTCATCAAAGTCCTTTTTACTGCAACATTTGAAAAGTTGGTATAAAAGATTGGAATGCATCATTGTAAGGATCTCTATAATGCAATCATTAAGGAGTAAAATATACACTTTACTTTTTTTCTTCATCAAGGTTTGTTTCATTGAGTTTTTCTTGATAAGATTTTTAATGAAGCAGTATTTTAAAAACGTATTCTTGAAAAGAATTATGTGCTATTTTTTCTTCACTTAAATTTTTTTCTCATAAGATTTTTTCCTTGTAAGGTTATAACGATGTATATTCTTAATGTAATGAATATTTAAAGGGAGTGTTATGAACAAATATATGAATGTCTATTGTGTTATGATCCAAGAAGTGCAAATTAACTCAAACAGCCTTATAGGTAAGATACAAAAAATGTAATATGATTTGAACTCTTAGATAGAATTAGATTAGAATTATGATTCAAGAGATTATTAACCTATAAATAAGTCTTTCACTTTATTTATAAATACATACTTAAATAAAATCTTCTTACTTCCTTTAAATATCTATTTTTATATTTTTTATAATTATTTTTTATATTTATTTCATAACATATATCATATATAATAGCTTCTTAATTTCTTTTTCTCAAAACTATAACTTGATAAAGGAAAAAAAGAAGGGGTATAAATGGTGTTTTACAGTGGGGTTTTATCCTCACAAGAAACTCCAAAGCCCTAGAAAGTGCCAAACAAGAAATGATGGCCCCTCATAGGGATTAAACTTTACCCTTTCCCTGTTTCTCTCTAAAATCAAGACCTCCCTTCACTCTCCTTCAGTCTCATTCTACAAATTAACGCACCAGAAACATGTCAATTGTCCCAATCAGTGGCCGAGACGGCACTGTCACCGATCCGGTTTCTTTAGACTTATGGGATCCATTCAACAACTTCGATCTTTGGAACCCATTCACTGATGGTTTCCCTTTCACTTTCCCTTCATTTCTCTCCACCCATTTCCCTGGTTTCTCCAGCGAAATTTTCCCGTCCCTTGGTACTCAACTCAACTGGAGAGAAACCCCAAGAGCCCATGTGTTCAAGGCTTTCCTTCCAAGGGTCACCCGGGACGAAGTCATAGTTTTCATAGATGATGACAGGATGCTTCAAATAAGCACTGAAAATGGTAACTTCATGAGCAGGTTCAAGTTGCCTGATAACGCAAGGACTGATCAGATTCAGGGTTTTATGGAGAATGGAATGCTTATTGTCACTATTGGGAAAGAAGCTTCACAGACACCAAACGTTAGGGTCGTTGAAATCACTGAGTGAAGTCACTTTTCATGTCTTCTGTGTGTGTGCCTAAGTTGGAGTTCTGTTATGAAATTTGTGCAAAATATGAAGCAATGCTTTAGTTTAAGGTCTGTGGTTGATTTTCCGTGTTGAAAGTGTTTGATGTTAAGGTGCTTAATGTAGTAAGAATATTAAACTAAATAAGATTCGTTTGCGTACATTGTGTTCACTAGAAGTAGCATAGCTTCCTTTAAACTATAAAACCAAATGCTGCTTTTAGTTTAGGGAAAAACAAAACAGTTGAATCAGATGAGTTAAATTTAAACCCACATTACATATTCAGAGGACATCAAGATTGAAGTAAATAGTACTTAATGTATTATTTATAGCGAGCATGCCTTCAAACTTTCCCTGGGACTTTCGAATTTCCATCTTAGTTGATCCCCCTTTTATTGCTAAATGGGCAAAACTCTATCAATTGACATTTCTATGGAGGATAATGCAATAATTCTCTGCATTGCATTGAATAATACAGATTAGACCCATACAAAGCGTATGCTACAATTTAAAATATTCTCGAGAAACGGTAATTCCCAATGCTACCCTGTTAGCAAAGCTGAGGGATCAGCACTTCTGTTGGAAACAAACAATCCATGGTTACAAAGATTCTGTACCACTCGCTCCGAAACTAGATGTACTATATCAGAGAAGTAGCCTTTTTTAAGTCAATTCTGAAACTTTATTTGATCATAGAACTCAGCTATGAACTTCTCCGCCCTGGAATCAATCCCTTCTTCCTCTAATTGACTCTTCTTTTCACAATTCCTGTATTCATATGCTTCTTCTTCTTCTTCTTCCTCTCTCGAGAAAGTTTCCCTTCCGCTATCATTGCCATAAAGTCCACCAGCTTCATCAGCACCAACATCGTACTCGAATTCAACTGCCTTTGCGCCTGTGCAAGGGAAAAGGAAGCGCATGGAGCCAGCAAGACGACCCTTCTTGACCTGGAAATCAGGAGTTTTATCAAAGGAGAGCTGACGTTCCCAATAAGGGATTTGATCAGTGGGAGCTTTATTTCCATGGCCCTTGATCTTAAACACAGAAGCTTTTCTTGCCCATAAGAATGCTAAACGCAAGAGATTCCATGCTTTATCAGCAACCACACTAGTCTTTTTGTTTGGCATTTTGAATGGCTTGGTTTGTAGCATCTAGCATGTTTAATACAAGGAAGTTAGTTGAGATATAAAAAAGAAATGAAATTGGAGTTGATTCATTTTCACTACTGTAATGCTGAAAACGATATCTCATCCGACTCCCCCTAGGTATACGGGAGTTGTCCTAAACAATTGGGTGTGGCTCTAGCAGTGTGAGACGGGCTACACGTCAACAAGGAAGAAGATTAGTTATTAAAAAAAAGACTTTGCAACCGGCTAACCGGTTGCAATTCCTTCCTTAATATTGCTAGTTCTTTTCTGCATCCTTTTTCCTCCGTGTTCCTTTGGGTCAAAAGGTGTGATGCAAAATACGACCCTTGTGCTTGAAAATATGGCATGAATTAATTCCATCCCAGTTTTTTGTTTGGCATGACAATCACATATGTTAATTTATATTACATATAAATTATTCTCTTTTCATAATTTGTCTCTTATTTTACCATTCCTTCTATTCATATTTTTTTACTAATTAATAGTGTTTTTATGATTAGAATCACCCATCAAATTAATACAAAAGACTTATTATTTGTTTCTTTTAAGAGGCAACTCAATATTTTTAAAGACTTAAAACCCCTAAATATTTAAATGAAGCCTTTTTGAGTGAAATTAAAAAACAAATTACCGGTAATTGGAGATCATTAAAAACATATTAGGTTTATTGAGAATAAGAAAAATAATTGAGAATTATTAACATTATGGTAATTGAAAAGTGATAAAAAATATAAATTTATTTGATACATAATTAAAAAAGTGAGAGAATATGTAATTTTATTAATCATTTTAATTTTTATATAAATAAAGAAGTGAGATAAACAGTTAAAAATTAATAAGAGATCATAAATGTAAAAAATGAATATTTAATAAATACTTAATTTAAGAAATATTTTATTAATTATTTTAATTTTTATGTATTTTTAATATAATTAATTATATAATATAAAATTATAGACCTAAAGCAAGTGCTTTGATGGCTTTATGCTAAAGCCGACACTGTTTCTTTTATATATGTATATCAATTTTGAAACATTTAAAAAATTCAAACTTAATTTTTAAAAAATAAAATAAAATATATGTCTTTATTATCGAATGTAACGTTTCATTCGTACGAGTCGATGAACTTGAAAGTAGTCAAAAACTTACAATTCGGGGTCAAAACACATGAATGGAGGAAGCAATAGACCCTAAAAGTTTTTTTAGGTTTAGGACGCACACCCACCCCTCACCAAACAAAAGAAAATAAAAACACAAGAAAACAAATGGGCTTTTAGTAGGAAGCGGCTCAAGTAAGCAACTCCCACTGCACAGTATGGAAAGCCCAATCTTTCATAGCCCAAGCTTCTCTATGAGGTCTTTATAAGGGTTTTGGGCTGAAAAGACTAAAGTAAAAATCTCAATCATTAACACTTTGAAACTAATCCAAGGCAAGCTCTAAACACATGCTCGATATGAAAATCCTCTCTTCAAAACTCTCTGTCTTAGATCATGTGTGACGTGGTAGGCTGCATCAACACATGCTGATATGGTGATCAAATTACGTGGAATCTTCCTGGCATTAGTGTACAAGTCTTTCTTCAAAGTCAAGCTTTGTGATGGTAACTCATTCTTAAATACATCCAAAATCTATGGGGATTGGATTTGAGCACTCCCTTATCATGGTAGAATTAACAACAATTTCATATACTGCATACGTTGTACTCATGAACCATCATCTCTCTTCTCAAAGCCATAAATTTATTGACCTTTTCCTATATTTTGTTCAATTGATAAACAAACTATTCTAATTGTTTGAAGCAAGTAATAGCACACTCAACCAACCATTTTATCAGATTATGTATGCAAAGACACAATGAGAAAATCTCACCAAAAACAAAAAAGACATCATTACAATAATGCCATTAGTGGAAACTTTTTATAATGCTTTTTTTTTTATTTTTTTATCTTTAAGGTGTCATTTTATACTTTACAATGTAATATAATTACAAGCAATGTGATGGTAAACAATATGATTGTAGAGAAAATAACATTACAGTATTGGATATACAAGCAAAATAATGATTAAAATGCAAAAAAGATAACATTACAGCGTTTAGTTTATGAATACTTTGCTAAGAATATAATTTTATTTTTCAAAATTACCTATATTTATTAAATTTAAGTTTAATATATTTATTTTTTTATTATTAATTTTTATATAATATCATCTTTTAAATATATTTTTTATGTTATACATTTTATTTGCATTTCTTATTATAACCTTATATATTTTATTTTTGTTTCTTTAATATAATTTTTTGTGTTATATATTTTATTTTAATTTTTTTTACTTATATTATATAAATTTTAATGTCTTATATTTTATTTTAATTTTTGATTCTTATATTATATATTTTCTTTTAATATTTTTATTTTAATTATAATATTTTAAAATATTTTTAATAAGGTGATAAAGTTAAATGGTAAAAATATCTTTAACACATTACAAATTGTAATGTAATGTGATTACATTAGTTTTGGACTGCAATCACGTTATATCCCTTGACTGTAATATGAATGTATTACAATTTTACATTGTAGTGATATATTGTAAAATAAATACTGTAATATAATTTGATTAAGCACATTGTAAGGAATATGATTTTATTTCTCTTATTCCAAAAGTTACCTACAAGTAATTTTTTTTTATTAAAAATAAAAAAAAATTTGGTGGTACTCAAGTATAATAATAATATTACAACAACCCAAATTACAAGAAACTATGCACACAAAGGCTTTTATTTATGAGTTTAATTCCCTTTCGTTACTGTTCAATTTGATGATTTATTTATCAATATCGTTAACATGTGTACAAATCTAATATGGATTTTAAAATTTTGTGAATATTATAAAACGTTTGAAATGTGAACAGCTTTGCTAAAAATTGAATTACGCCTTACATGTGTATTACATTATCATAACAGGTAAGATTTTACGTATACAATAAATATCTTGTTTCTGTCCCCACGTAATCATTGCCTGAAAATGTGATGTCAAATATGGCCGCAAATTTCCACGCTAATGCTTACTTTCCAATTACCATATAATAATACTTTTGACGTTTTACCATATGTGAAATTTTAATTACATACTACTTTTGCATTCGCTATAATAAAGAGAGCTTTAAGCTTTACACATTTTCTCATCACCTGCATTTTTCGTTTGTTATTCTCCACAAACAGATAGGCACAGAGAGAGAGAGAGAGAGAGAGAGAGAGACAATGGCAACCCTTAAAGTGCCAGCTCATGTTCCTGCACCTTCTGAGGATGCTGAGCAACTTCGTAAAGCTTTTGAAGGTCTTTCGTTAATTCTATTCTACCCTTTTAAATTGATCAATCTTTTCTTTTCTTTTTTTTTTTGTTTTACTTTGATTTGTTGTTGTTGAGTTGGTGTCTGATCATGACACATTCTATCCGATCATGGGTTATATGTATTTTGATTGATTTACTGTGCTCCTGTGTAGTTTCATTTCTGTATCTGTTTTTTTCAATTATTACTATGATCTTTTGAAGTCAGTCATATGATTCGATAGGATTAAAGTTTTTTTTTTTGAGAAAAAAAGTTGGGGTTTGGTCAGTCAACTAAGTGAGAAATGATAGTGATCAGGTTCATCTGGAAATAGTTACCTTTATTCTTGATCTGATCACAGTGGTTCTGATATGATAGTGTTGGATCACTACTGATCTGCGTTTTAAATGTTGTTGATGTTCTGGATTGTTATTCGGGTGAAGAGGGGGGGGGGGGGGGGGGGGTGTTGGATCTAATATCATGGAAGATTTTTTTGTTTCAAGTAAGACTAGTCATATGATTTTGCCTTTGTAGTTTTGGTTTTGTATATCAATTCACCTTTCCTTCATCTGTACCAAACATAGCATTAAATTTTATTTGTAATCATCTGGCATTTATATGCTTATGTTACAAAACCATCTTCTTTTCTCATTCAACATTTGAGGTAAGGAAATAATAAGGTGCTATTTTGGTTATAAATATTTTAATACACAATAAGTATATACTTCCTGTTAATATTTGTTGATTGTGCGCTGAAAGATTTTGATAATCCGTTGCAGGCTGGGGTACCAATGAGCAATTGATTATAGACATATTGGCTCACCGGAATGCCAGCACAGCGCAATTTAATTCGAATATCCTATGGTGAAGCTTATGGCGAAGATCTTCTTAAGTCGTTGGATAAGGAACTTTCAAGTGACTTTGAGGTCAGATTTGGACATACCTGTTTCTTAATCTTGTTCAAATGAGAACAATTTACAGAACCTAGTTATATTATTGAATAAGCAAAGTCTGATTATTTGCATTCAAGAGTTGATGTTTGGCTTGCAGTGTTTGTGATTCACTAGAAGGGGAAGAGAAAAAGTAATTTTGGCTATTATTCAGAAAGCCTCTTTACTTTTTAACTTTTTGCTATTATTTTTTCTTCTTTCTACAGCGGGCTGTGCTGCTATTCACATTGGACCCTGCAGAGCGTGATGCATCTCTGGCTAATGAAGCTACAAAGAGGTTCACATCAAGCAATTGGGTTCTCATGGAAATAGCTTGCACTAGGAGTTCATATGAACTATTTAATGTGAGGAAGGCATATCATGCTCGTTATAAGAAATCCCTTGAAGAAGATGTTGCACACCACACTACTGGAGACTACCGCAAGGTTCAGTCTTAAGCTTCTTGGCCATGGCCAATTTAAAATTTTTCTTCTCCATCCATCTTGAGTTGAGTGCCTGCTTAGACAACAAAATCCCTGACATTATAATTGATTAGATCATCCCTTGAACTAATTGATCTAACCAAAATTAATTGAAAATTAACACAAAACTGAATAAGATTTGTGAAATGATTGCTTATATTATTTTCTCTTGCAGCTTTTGTTCCCACTTGTTAGCGCATTCCGATATGAGGGAGAGGAGGTGAACATGACATTGGCAAAATCAGAGGCTAAGATACTTCGTGATAAGATCTCCGATAAGCATTACAATGATGAGGAGGTGATCAGGATTCTGACTACAAGGAGTAAGGCACAGCTAAATGCAACTCTCAATCACTACAATACTGCATTTGGGAATGCTATCAACAAGGTATTCATTTTGTCCGTGACTTTTAGTGGATTTCTTAAGAAATTGTGTGAAAGTTTCAATATGTGGCATTTTTCATGTTCTTGTAACAACAAGAAGACTTGTTGTTTTCCTACCATTTTAACAACACAAGAGTATATATGGAAGTAAAAGAAAATTTGAAGGAAGACACTCCTTTAACAAGTTTTGCATTGAGCTCAAGGATAGAATTTTGAATATCTCTACCTTGTCAAAATTATAGTATCAATTTGAATGAAAAACGAATATAAAGCTTTAAATGTCCAGAAATCATTCTGGTGGCCCTATGGGACACCCAAAACAGTAATTTGTGTCATCCAAACTCAACTTTTTTTACTTTTAAGGTTGGTGGTCTAGACATTTCAAGGTCACTATAGCATTTGGCAGAATCTACTCACAAAGTGTAAGTATATGCTAAAGAAGAACTGCTCTAACTGAAACTGATAATGAGATACTGGTTTGCAGGATTTGAAGGCTGACCCCAGTGATGAATTTCTCAAATTGCTGAGAGCTGCGATTAAGTGCTTAACTGTCCCTGAGAAGTATTTTGAGAAGGTTCTACGGCAAGCCATCAATAAGTTGGGAACAGATGAATTGGCTCTCACTAGAGTTGTGACAACTCGGGCAGAGGTGGACATGGTACGTATTAAGGAGGAATATCAGCGAAGAAACAGTGTCACTCTGGAAAAAGCAATTGCTGGAGATACTTCTGGAGACTATGAGAGAATGCTTCTTGCCTTGATTGGATATGGAGACGTCTAAGCTGTTTTCTTTGTTCAGTTCTTCTTATGACTACCTAGTTTGCATTGCCAGCTATGAGTTGTTTGTTTGGGTTTATGTCTTCGTCTTCGTTGTGTGCCCTTCACTTTTGTTTACTGCTGCTTCCGTGTGGAACTTTCAAGATGGACTAATTGAATTGGGTGTTCTTATTTTAGTGTTTTGCACCAATTTTTCAGTGTGTTCATTTTCTGATTCAATCATGCTTGCCAATGACTTAAAAGATGAGTCGTGGTGCAGTTGTTGGTAAACTAGGATTGCAATGCATAGCAGGGTCAGCACCCATGACTGCGATAGTGGAACTCAAGTCGTTGGTTATATTTTGGATGTTAAAAGTTGGATAGGCAAAAAATCCATAGAGCAAAAGTTGTAAGCTCCTTGGTGTTTAGGAGGTCAAAAAAAAAAAAGCATTAGATGTGGATGCGCAGGTTTCGAAATTTATGGGAAAAAGTTATTCGGGGACATGGATGGTGAACACGACAGGAAGGAAGAGTTCCTTTTTTGGCTTTTTCTTTGGCAAATGGGGTACGAAGCTCAGTGATTCAGTGCCTTTGAATTGAGCTCCTGTCTGCCTACAAACATGTGCATGGACGTACTGTCCAGGGATGTGGACCAAATTTTAGGATTAAAGGAACGGGTTTATGTTCCAGAAGTAATAGAAGTGCTGCATTATCCTAAACCCAATATTTTATATAACATAATACGAATGCAAGCTTGTTGATTTGTGATTTATACCTACCCATAAATCCCCGCTACGTTTGAGCCGAGGGCTTAGGCCGAGCGGCTCTCGTCTCCTCTTTAGGGGAAAGATACCGTAGATGTAGAGTTTAAACCGTGGTTCCTGCCTAATCCTATTCCTAGGGGTTTATCTCCATTTCCTTCCTAAGAAAAAGGAATATCCTCGTTTTGTTTGCACTAAAACAAAAATTAACAACCTTAAAATGTAAAAAATTAAAAAAGTAGAAGAAATCTACCATGAGAGAGGAAGTAAATTAGTTTCATTTTGGCTACTAACTTTCAAAGAAGGGCCAAGCTGGCACAGAAGGAAACATTATCTTTAAGTTTCTAAAGGTTTTAAGAATTAAATATGTACATTTTAGAAATTTATAGAATTTAATAATTCTGTTGGGGTCTGAAATAATTTAAGAATATATAGATGGACAAAGGGAAGAGTACCCGTCCCCCAATATTGTCAGAAATAAGGTACCTTGGTTACCAAGCAGATTCAACATTGCAGGGTTGTCCTTGGAAACACCATTTCGTCGTCTTGTTGGTCCTGTAATTGTGAGCGGCAATCTCCAAGATTTTAACATTCTTGGTGGCATTTGATCCCTTTGATTCCAACGACAAGCGTACATGCATTTTAAATATCAAAACATTGGGAAGCTAACATCTGGTGTACGCTCAAGAACGTATTAGAGACCAGCTAACCAGGGGCCTTTTATTATTCCACAACAACAGACAAAGTTGGTCTGGAGTCCAGACCAAACACTAACAACACAACAACTGGAAACTGTTGAAATAACTCAATTAGCCGTCCACCTAGGGTTCCGATCTAAATGTTACACTCTAACAACGTATACATGAGCCACAACCAACATATGCCACTCGAATGCCCAAATTTGATCATCATAAGGCATCAAGGGCCCTGCACAGTCAAAACATTGCACCCAAACTGGGATGTACAGCAAAGGACACTACCGTTAAATCAAGGCAATGCTGCTCTCACCACCAGGGGGCTTGCGTACACCACCCAGATAATCTCTAGATTCCACCTTCCCATCAGAAAAGATGTTGTTGCCACTCATTTCGCGCAGCTTAGCCCTGCTCAGAGGCTTTTCTGCAGAGCCTGGATGAACGTCTCCCTTGAAGATATTGTTGCCTGTCAGCTCTTGAAACTTTTGGTTATGTATCTTCTTTGCTGTCTTGACAACAGGTCCTTCGCTGAACAGGATACTTGTCTGACCTCCGGCAGGCTACAACAATAGTGAAAAACAAATTTTTCATAGGAGTTACATGGCTGGTGAAACTTTGAATTCAAGATAGGACAGGAATAGGAAGAGCTTGAAATGATTCTGCATCCAACAAAACTTGTGGAACAGAGGGAGTACTGGAATGATCAAGTTGTGGAAGAATGCAGACATGATAAGCCTAAATGGAATTTGAGTAAAGTAATTCATGCCAATGGGAGAGAGTAAAATTTTGTATTCTTTACAAAGAAGTTCAAATTAACCTTGAAGTTAGCAAACATGTGCATATTCCCAATCTCACAAGAAAAAGAAACCATCTGATGAGTTTTATAATGTATTGCTACAGCAGTATCTATAAGGCAAGCCTCCACTGCCATTGCAGAAGACTGAGGGGACTGACCCCATTTGCCCTTTATTAACAATTTTCATTTCAGTAGTGATGAGGTGCTTCTTTGGAAGTCACTACTCCTAAAAGGAAAATGGATGTAGTGTTAAAGGCCAACTGAAAGCAAATATTAGCAACACACGCCCAAGACAACTTGTATCTAAAATAGGCACTATTACTGAATCAACTGTTCTAACTTTCCACCAAGACAAAACCAGTGAGAAATGATTATCAGACACTGAAAAGCTAAACTCACATTTGAAACTTTGACAGATGTGCGCACATTTCGTGGTGCAGGTTCTCCCATGTCTTTGCTTTCTCTTGATTCCGTGGAGCGTGCAGCAGCCAATGAACGTGGCTTAATTTCAGAAGGAGATGCAAAGATGTCATGTCCACTGATCTCCTTATACTTTGCATTTGATATTTGCTTTTTATTCTTTGCATCTGAATCAGCCTGCAACGTGCCGCTTAACTCTCGCTGCTTTGCTACCTCAGGGAGAGAGGTAGGCTTCTTTGGAGAAACACTCCCATCAGCACTGAATGATATTTGGCTAATTCCATTCACTGCTTGCTGAAAATCATATCACCAAAGTTTAAAAAGGTGAATTTACATCTTGGACAACTGGTGAACAATTATGCTCATTCAATGAGAGAGATCTAATAAATACCTGATACATGCGCAATCCTGTTCGGTTAGTAGGATTAGTAGCAGTAGGTTCAGATGCACCATTAGCGCCATTGGCTGCAAATATACCGCTGCCAGTCATATCTTTCATTTTGTAACCTGAGCAAGGCTTCCTGGAAGAGCAATGGTGAACAATGCCAAATGGATTTAGATGAATGATAGCCATACATGTCCAAAATAGCTCTTGATGAAGACACTATATTACTTAAGTCCAAGCCAGAGTACAAATGAGAAAAAAGAAGTTTGGTTTACACAACAGACTCAAGAAGAATCAAGAAATTCTTAGAACAGAGTCCAAGTTTTTGGAGTATATGCATCAATAATCATAGTTAGTCCACAATCTGATGAGCATTGTGAGAGACCAGATAACTAAAAGTTGCAAGGTTAGTTGGATCTGGGTTCTTTTTTTCTCGAATAAAATTGGATGCAATTCATGAACAGTACTATTAAATTAGTTATCTGAAAAGCCTACTGACTTTGCATATCAATTCTAGATTTAACTTGTTAACTATTAGTCTTAAACCAGAATGAGCTGATCTGGACAGCTCGACTTACAAACTGGGAAGCAAAAATGAAAAAAAAAAAAACAAAGAAGCATGAAGATATATAAATGAGGAAAATACAAGAGTACAGATACATAACCAAAAGAGAGGTTTATGATAACATCTAAAATATAGTAATACGCAACAATATGTTTGTCATGGTCTATACAGCAATCTAACTCAATAGATTTCTCAGTTCAAACACAACATTTTTAAATGAAGCACATAAAAAACAACTTCACTATCTAATACAAAAAAGACCCGAATGAATCATAACCATGCAATGTTAGTACTCCATAATGCATGATTAAATATGTGCTTTTATATAGAGAGACATAAAGTTTCTCCTTATCAATTGAGAGCTGGTTAAGGAATAAACAAATAAAAAACTCAAAAACAGGAAAGCAGGACCTTTTAGCCAGATTAGCAGCTAAACCACTCAAACAAACCATATATTTCAACTAAATAAATTATATATACATCGGTAATTTGAGCAATCCATGCTTTAATAAAACAGATCAGAGCATCTCTTTCCTTAGTAATTTGCTAATTATATTATCCAAATTTTCTCAGGTAATACAATAGTAGAAATTAATAGCTTGATACAGATCAAAAACAAAACCCCCAAAAAATAAAAAAGTAACGGTAGATCTGGTTCTACATTTTAAAGCTATAAAGAAAAGGACAAAATTCAAGATTTTATTTTTATAATAAAAAAATAAAACTCAAATTTCAAACTCCAGAAAAGAAAACTCAGTACAAGCTTATCTTGAAAAGAAACAACATTTACAGCCAAAGATGAATTTCCTTTTTTCTTTTAAAAGGAATGTAAGCTGAAAATAGAAAGGGATCTTACTTTTTCAAGAGAGATTGAGCTTCGTCATCAGTAACCTGACCTCCAAACACCACTTTGCTGATTCCATCCGACGGCTGTTATTCAATGCTTTCATTCGTCAGATGAAGAAAATATAAATAGAAGATAAACGCATGCATTTACATAAATGTGTTTATATAACACTAATAATAGTTATAGACCATTGCACCTGGTTGGAGCGACCGGAGGAACGCTGGGCGGAGGAGGCGTTGGAAGAGGCAGATGGTGCAGCCTCAGTCCAAGTCAGCAGATCGGCAGTTGAGGTGTGAGGCTTTCGGACCGGCGTGCTTCTCTCCATTTTTGGTGTGCTCTGAGCTGAAGTAAAGAGCGTCGTTTCAGTCTTTGCAGATTTTTTTCCTTCTTTTGTTTGCAAAGATAAGAAAAAATATTTGAATTTTATTAAAGGATATATATATATATATATATAAAATATCAAATACTGTCAACCAATTACCAAACTTTACTCCTTTTTTTCCTTTATTTTAAATTTAGAGGTTTTGGCGAACCTGAAGACTCGCTGTTCGAAACTAACACGTGTCAAAGGTCCCACGCAAGGAGAAATTATTGACTTGATATTTTTTAGTACTTTTTAAATAAATGAGAGAAAAAGGAAAAAACTCCTCATGACCAAAATTAAGAAAAAGTAATGAAAGGGTAAAACATCACAGTTGCATTTAGTCCCAAAATTAATGAAATATTTATTGAATCTGTGAGAACCAATTAAAATTCCAAAAAGATTTAGAATAAATTTTAATTTGATTCAAAGAAAAATTAAGGCTAAACTATCAAACAAACATAACATGATAGCGGAAAGTAAGTAGGCCAATAACTTGGTGTGCTTCAGAAGCATAAATCTTTTATTTTGAATAACATTAATTTAGGTATTAATGTCACTTCATATATACTTTATTAGTTGTTACCCCCAAAAAAAAATTAAAAAGCTAAGACAGATGCATGCAATAATGCTGAAACCTAGCTAAGTCAAAATTTTGGAAATGGATCAAAATTAGGTAAGCACTGCTGCAAGTCAAATTAAACCAGTTTTATTTTTATTTATATTTTTTCCATTTCATAAGATCAAATCGAAAGTGTTGAAATTTGGAAAGATCAATATTGTAATGTTTAAAATATATAAAGATGATATTTGATACTTTACGATATTATGATGTGATTGCAAGCAATGTAAGTATAAGAAAAATAATATTACAACGTTTGATTTATAAATATTTTACTAAAAATGTAATGATAATTTTTAAAATTATAATTTTTTATTAAAATGTTAGTTTAATATGTTTATATTTTTTATCATTAATTTCTTTATAATATCATCTCTTCAATATATTTTTAATATCATATATTTTATTTTTATTTTTTAATATAATTTCTCGTATTATATATTTTATTTTAATTTTTTTCTTTTAAAAGATATCTCTTGAAATCTATAAAAAAAATTATAACATTAAAATTTTTTTAATCAAATAATAAAATTAAAGAGTAAAAATATTTTTAAAAATATTACAGAATGCAATACAATTTAATTACATTAATTTGAACTACAATCACATTTATAGTCATTAGTTGTAATATAATTACATTATAATTTTATATTTTATTGATTTATTATAAAATAAATATTATAATATAATTTAAATAAATAGAATATATTCTCTTTTTTTTTTTGGTACCAAACGATCTCATAGAGTCAAATTAAATAGGAATGGGGTGGGAGGCCTATTTTGATTTGGCAAGATAAATTGTGTCCACTAGAATTAAAAAGTTGGTTATGGTGAAAAGGAAATCTGAATCACAAAGGGTTGAAAAACCTAGCACTGTCCTTGTTTTGTCTAAACAATAAATAGAAGCAGAGTCCTTATTAATTTACCAAAAAAAAGCAAGGGTCTTGTCAACTTTCTAACAGTATTCAATACTTAAAAGTCTTAACTTGTTGGGATTTTGAGTGAGTCAAATTAAGTTTGATTAAGTTGTAAAAGGGGATTGAGCAAGATTAATAAGTATATGATAGACAATCAATTACGATATATATATGCTAATGATTGCTGCTTTCCATCGCTTTACATTTTAGAAAAACTAACCCCCAATTGGCTGGATAAACAAGATATATCCTCAAGTGATACACAAGAAATAAGATTCTATAAATATAGCAAATTAATTAAATAGCTTATTAAATCAAGTGTATAACCTCATTGGTGGGTGTTTTAATTACTTTGTTAAGTGGATGGTTGCCCATGCAATATTTGGCTTTTCAACTCCTTTCCTGTTTTTTCCTTTTTTTGGAAGAAGTTTTTTTTTTTAATAAGAGGATTGTTGGATTGGTTATATATATCTTGCAAAATCCAATTTATTTTTTTTAGAAACAAAAGAACAAAAATAAAGTTAAAATACTAAATAAATCTCTAAATTTTTTGATTCTCTTTTTAAAAAAATCTAATGTGTTATTGTATCTAAATAAATCCTCTTATAATTTGTACCTTAAATATGTTTTTTTTTTTCAAAACCTTGTATATGCTTATCACGTTATTTTAATAGTGATTAAACTCATAATCAATTTACATTTTTAAAAGATATTAATGTCAGTGACAAAATCAGGATTTTATGTTTAAAATAACGAAAATTATGTCTTCAATATTTGTAGCAGTAAAATTATAAAATTTAAAAAACAAAAAAAATTATAAAATCTTGCAGCTTTTGAGAGACAGGATCCCTACTAGTCTCCCTCCCTTCACCTCTAATTTATGTTGATTATAATAAGCAAATTTAAATCTTATTAAGAATTTATTTAATATTTTAATTTATATTAATAGATAGGAGGTTTTTTTTTTAAAAAATAAAATAATTTGAGAATTTATTTAATAGTTTATCCTATAATAACCAAATTTAAGCCTTCTGATACTGCTGGGAGATTGAAAATCATAAGCTACACCAATTAAAAGAGTTGCAGTCTGGCCTTGTGACTTTTCGCCTATTTAATGCAAACTCCATAATTTATAGCTCATGAAAGGCATGCATACCCTTAATTAAGAAGGTGAAAAGAAGCCCAAAAAGTTGGTGAAACGTAATTCATCTAGAAATACACCAAAACATCTCAACTACACTGGCCTATGTTCTTGGTCCCATTAATTAATAGGAGAGGTGGTTGGAGTATGCAGTTTGGATATTTATATGTAAGTATGGTTTGTGAGAATTAGTGAAGTAATGCCTTTTAAGAAAATAATACAAAAAAGAAGAAACAAGACTTGCATTTGCATATATAATTGTACTAATTAAGGATAGCTATATATGCCATGAAAGTTCACATTTTCGGGTAAAATACTGTTTATTATTCTATGTTAAAGTCTTAATGTATGCTGTATAATCTAAAGTACAGCATCTGATTTTTTATCTGTGTTATTATATGGAGTTAGAACTTAAACGAGAAATGTTACTTGGACTTACTAAAGCTGGTAAGGTTGACATTGGATTTTAATGGAAATATTTGATACCAACCAAAATGTTCCCTCTGGTATTATAAGAATAAAAAAAAAAACACAGAGCAATAATTTCACAATAAAGTTCTCCTCATGACAAAGAACTACGTTCAAGAAATTGCCCTAATACCTTCTTCTAAATAGATGACTAGAGTGTCCCTTTACTCTCATATATCTACAGTTTAACGACAAATACAACAGAAGTAGCATATCTTTAGTGCTTTTGGCCACTCCTTTGTGACTATAGTGCCTCGAAAGCTGCTGCCAGTGCAAATAATTCATAATCTGCACAGCTGCAGTACCCGCCACCACTGTCCTTGCATCCACAGCCATCCCAATTGTTCTTCAACCCTTCTTTTCTCTTCTTCTTCTTCTTCTCCTCTGTTTCTACAATTGCCGGACCTTGGACCTTCATTGATACCTGTAGTGAAGGAGGCTTCAGAGTTTCAAGAACACGATCATTCATTGAAACCATGGTAACCCATTTCTCAATCTCCATGTTTGGTGATTCAAAAACGGCTTTCCATGGCATTTCAGCTCTGCCCAAAAGCTGTGACTTCCCCATTATTCTTCCAAGAACTGGCACTGTGCTTCTCCAGCGGAGCTCGAAAACTACAGTTTGTTGCTTCAGGTCATTCAAAGACTGTTCAGTTCCCAAGCATTCCAAAGAGAAGGACTCATTCCAAATGAACTCTGACTTCGAGGAGATCTCCTGGCTGTTTACTTGGATTCGCTTTTTGTTTCCTGCAGTGAGATAGTATCTCACAAAAAGGTTTCCAGGTGACTTTAGTTCTAGGTTTTTGGCTTGCAAGATTCTCAGCTCACAACAAAGAGAGGAAAGGTAGTGAGAAATACCCATTGAGAGAAACAATTCTTCAATGAAGATTGACTGAAGAAAGCTTTGGCTTTGCTAACTAATGATTTCCTTGGTGAGGATTCTTTGGGTTTTGAGACTAAGAGGTATATAACTATGTATAAAGGCCATTGCATCTAAAGATAATGGAAGGAGAGTGGCATTTGCTTTCAAGGAAGCTGCTGAACGAGCTTATCTACAATCTACATTTTAGTGGAAGAAAGTGAATCAGCCACCAAAGTATAATGGTATTATTATATATAACTGCCCTTTTTCATGTTAGCAGTTGGCATTCAAATATGAAGGAAGCGATCCCATGAGATTCTGTGGATTACATTTAAATTAGAATAAGCCCATTATTAAACATGAAGGGCTGGAAAATCTTAATCTGACCCTTGCAAAAGTTGCAACAGCTCCACTTGGTAGCATGCAGCACACAGTTTACCTGACATTTTGATTTTCTTTTTGATAAATTAGTCAAGAACCTTCCAAAACCACAATCTAAATGGATATACGAGCAGGATTTGATCTTGCTCATTTCTATGACAATAGCTTTTGGGCAGGAAAACTAAGAAAACCAAGTTGAACGAATTAATATAAGTATACTAGTTAAAGAACAAGTGGAAACGAAATCTTTATCTAAACCTAATTTTATGGTACTTTGTTGTGGGAGAATGCTTGACAAAAAGAGCATGGGTTTACAACATGAAAAAAGCTCATGGAAGAGAGAGTTATCCCTTGGAGATCCTCAAGAGATAGGGCCCTCTGCTACTTAATTTGTGTATGCTTATTTCTATAATACAAATAAATGAAAAGGTTTAAAGTTGTGGATAACACGTTGGCGAGGAGATGATGCCAACTGTGTTTGTTTATCAAGAATCCATATCCAACCATTTGATAAGATTATAACCCACATGTTGAGAAACTCGATCAGTCAATCTAACATTGCTAAATGACAAGGTGCTGGCGGCCCTGATTAATCTTTGTTAGATCTTCTTTATAATTAATTAATTAATTATCAAATGCTATTGCACGTCCAACACAGAGACAAGAAATTGGTCACTCAAACCGACCCACCCACCCACCGATTGTTCCTTCTGTGTTATACGCGTTTAAAGAAACAGGAATAGTCGATGTAATAAGGCCAGAAAAATGAAGCTCCACTGCAATGGTGGAGATTTTCTCACTGTCATAAAGTTGACGAGAGTTTACAGTTTTATCCTCCAAGCTTAAGCATATTGTAATATATAAACTTGAAGCGCAATGCGCAGCAGGTGACAGTCAAATCTTTCATTTCCTGTGTTTTTTCGGTACCACAATCTTTTCATTTCAACAGGCTCAACTTTGAATAACAAAAAACAAACATTCCCAAGTTATTTTTTTAATATTTTGAAAATAGAAATAAATATTAAACTAATATTTTTTTTAATTCGTCTAAACTTGAAAACAGAAAATAATATAATATTTTAAAACAACTCTACTTGACTTGTAAAAAATAATTTTTGCAGCTTAACGTAAATTGTACGTAATAAATCACTCATCTGTCATATTATATGTAGTGTATGTACAATAACATCTTCATCGTGTTATAGTATCGTGAATAATACTTCATTCCTATACACATCCTATTAGAAACAATATGTAAAATATTTATCATATAATACATACATCAATTACGTTTCCCCTTTCCGTTTTTTCGAACCAAAATGGTGTCAAATGTTTATACCTTTTTACTCTCTTTCTTGTTTTTATTCTGGACACAGAACAACAAAGAAACATCCAATAATGAAACAATAAATTTGATGAACTCAGCTTAGTGCAAATAACAGTCTTAAATTGAAGAAACGAAAAGATTATGCATATATATAACAAAGAGGTAATAAAATGTAGTGGCACAATTAGTTAAAACCTAGGTCCAGGATTGATTAGGAAAGATATAAAACAGAGAGGAGGAGGAGGAGGAGGAGGAGGAGGATAAAATATGTAAAATTCTATTCCCTTCAATTTTATTCATGACCGCAAGAACAAATTCTTACAACATGCAGGACTGCGGATTTTACCCGATAAAAAAAGGGTAAAAAATAGGGGTAGGGGAAATATGGAAAAGGCTGTACATGAAAATTTTATAGATTATGGATGTACTTGGACTGTTATCATTTTCATAATTCCTACCTAACAGTATTTGCAATAATCTGATCTAATTTGCTTCTCCTTTTGGCTCCAGCTCATGCACTGAGCAAATACCACAGCCTGTGGTATACATAAAAAATAATGAATATTATCCTTTGAAACTCCAAAGGGAAATTTAAAAGTATTACTGGCACCTGGCATCTCCTTTGCATACTCATTGTTCTGAGCACGATAAAGAATTTGTACGGTGTATAATTAAGTAAACTGATTCCCTCAAACAGCAATGTCAGGTTTGTGTTTGCCCCCAGTTCCTGTATATACCACAGTTCAGAGCACAAACAGAAAGCTCCCCCTTGCACCAAACTCATTGCTTGATCGAACGAAGCTCCCATTTACCCTCACCATCAACAAGTCGTAACTCCAAAGCATGGAATGGTATCAGAGCAGGCCGCTGAGAAAATACAATAGCAAAAACAATTACTGCAGGCGTGAAGTGACATAATTCTGAAGTGTTACAATAGGTGCTAACTTTGTGCAATTTCTGTATTTGGCAGTGCTGCAGCAGATAATGACGATGAACATCCCAAATATTTTATTATCCACTGAATTAAAGATGTTTTGACAATAATCAGTTGCATGCTTGTTATCACTCACTATCCAGTGAAACTACTTGCCTGTGATGAGGTAATAACAGTTATACCCAAATCTTTTGCAAGTCTATAGAGTTGTTCCTCAACATCCACACTCGTTGCACTGCCATGGGAAGAATACCCAGGTAAGTTAGACAACTAGTTAGTGTTATAAACAAAATACACAGGGATTAGTTACATACTTTGTGCACTCATCAAGGATACCAAATTTAGGCTTGTGGAAGAATAATCGTGCCTGGTAAAACAGAAAGTTTGATGTCAAACAAAAGAAACCTGTCCTGTATGCAGAGTAAAATGTTGTCCAAAACGCCTTGAAGGTGCAACAAGTTAACTTTACTCACCATGCCTAATCTCTGCTGTTCTCCAAGTGAGAGGATGTCTTCCCAGTTGAGATTAGCATCCCAACCACCTTCCTCTCTTTCCAAAAGATAATTCAATCGAACATTTTCAAGAATAGTTTTCAAACGTCCATCCAGAATCTTTGTGGTATCTGCTGATTTTTTACCTGCAATTTTGCATGTTCACAATTCCCAAAAGCATAAATAAACTCAATATATATATTTTCCAGAAAACTCATTGAACAAAATAAGCCAATAACTTTGACACCAATATACACATGACATGATCTGTCATTCTACCATGCTCTTTAAACTGTCATCATCTTAATGATAATAAGAGAGATTAGATATCATTCTCATCTGACGCCCCTAGAAAACTTAATAATAGTCAATGTCCCTTTATAACTCATCTGAAGAGAAAAAAGCAAATATCAATTGCCCAAATTCCAGATGATTTTATTTTTTTGGAACATGAACACTCAACCAAACTTTTTTCAGGGAGATGAAGACCAAAGTGGCCATGGATGAGAATTATAAAAACGAACTGAACTTAACTGAGGATATGTCCTGAACAGAACACAATGGCACAATATGATCCTTATAGTCAACTCTACAGGGAAAACACTCGGTTTGTTGTTATAACTAGTCTTTAATAGACCACTACGCATCTACATGGCACCACTTTTGGTACCATATAACTCGAGTCTAAAAGAATAATCAAATTAACTCATCCATCAGAAATGTCTGAGAGCATGGCAATGTGAAAATAATAGATATGAAAACAGAAATTTTAAAGATAAGGAAAGCAATCCAACTTATGCAAGTGGGGTTACCTTTTCCGTACAACTTTAATTCCCTCAGCTCTGCTTCCTCACAAGAGAGAGGATATATGATTTGGTCCCTTAAAGTTCCCAAGCATGTATATGGTCGCTGAGGAACATAGAAGATGCCACCACCCGATAAAGCCTCTTCATTAAAATGGTGGGACGGTTTATAAAGTCTTCCACTCACAATGGGCCAGAGACGTCGAAGTACTCTAAAAACAGAGCTTTTACCACTCCCATTTGGTCCTTAAGAAATTAAAGGCATGTCAGATGTAAATCTTCTATCAAGGCGAATGATAAAAATTCCTATACTAACCAGTAACAAGCAGGCTTTTTCCTGGCACTACATCACATGTCAACCGCCTAGCCAACAGCTTCTGTGCTGGAGTAATTATATCCACCTCAGCAAAAGAAATAACATCCTCAGAATAGAGACCAGTCATCCGAGACTGTGCCAAGTTATCAGTGCTCAAATCCCCTGGTTAGATGACAATCTTGTTAGATTAAATGTGCAATTTTTAGACAACAAAGTCAGTCTTAAAATAAGAAAATAAAAAAGCAAAGGAAGATGAGGAAGAAAGAATTTGCCCCTAATCAAATAGAGATGCAGCAGTGTCTGATCAACAAAAATATTTCTAATGTCCAAAACAAATCAGCTTCACTTCAGCACATCAGTAGAAAAACTTACGTGATAGATATCATGAGCAGAATTTCATAAAATTGAAACACAACCTACATTCAAATCCCATATTTTGGCAAGGCCCAACATGATGTACTCCAGGTTCCGATTGAAACATACTAACATGAGGAATGTATGCAATGTCACATTGTAAGCAGATTACATTCACAAATGCCTAACTGTTATACTAACCTTCTTCAGTTTGAGTTGGATAAGAACTTCATTAGGCCATTCGGTACTTCTCAAACAAGCATCCTAACTTCTATGCATTTACATTGTTATAATTTATGGATTAGCACTTGAAGATATTAATAGAAAATCTCAATCTTCAAACACGTGATATTAATATTATCTAAAGCTATTTCACACTCAGAAGAAGCAGATTAAAAAAGAAAGCTCTCAAAAGAAATCCTAGCAACTGTGACAGTGTGATTAATCTTTTGATGCAATTGTTTCAGCAAAATATATGAAAATATACAAAATAAAATGCAAGGCTACACAATCATTGGGAGACAGTTAAAAAGATATACCAGACTGAGCAGCATCAAGAAGCTCTTCAAGCTCGAATATTCGGTTGATGCTTCCAGATAGCTCCAGGAACTTTCTATGCAATTCCAGGATGTCACCAAATGCTAAAAAGCTTTGAGACACAACAGATGCCAGGAACCGCAGTGCGTGGGCAAGCTCACCTAAAAGATATCCAGGTACTTTCAGAGAAAGGAGGGAGAAACTAGAAAGTACTACAAAAGCCAGTTAGATATCTCACCTTGAGTAGAAATTAAGGCTCGGTCACCCTTGTGTTCCAAGGCATATAATAAGCTCAAACCCCAAGTAACATTATGTGGAAGCTGTTTCGTGACAAAATCATCAAGTATACCAAACAGCCATTTCTTCTTCAAAAGTAACAAAGAGTGATCAAGAAGCTCCCTGAATCTTGAATCAACCATCTGTTCAATATAGGACACATAGATTTAGAGACAGGGCATGAAATAATGGGGAAAAAGAAGCCTATAGTAAACCATACAAAAAGGGAAAAAAATAACAATACTGTATACCATGATCCCCGCAAAAATTGGTAAAGATAGATTTCGTTCTTAAAACAAATTATTGGGCCATGTCCTCTCTAGACAAGGAGCAAAACATAGTGCTGCCTTTTCAGCTGAAAAACATTTCTTTACATGATAGAACAAGAGAGCGTGGGCGACAATCAAACAGTATCATCCAGGATGACTAAACAATTCTTGCTGGAAAAATTTTTTTTTTTTTTGGCTAATAATCTTGATGCAAAACCCAAGCCCATATGATCCAGCAATTGTAGGACATTACAAGAAAAGCTTATTTTGTTGGGTTTCAGCCCAGGCATGTAAAGTGTAAACTATAGTTGTCCGATGCAAACATTACAATGCATTCGACTTCCAGTTGCTAACCCATAGAAATATCAAATATACTCCTAGTGTTATCAGTCTACTTTTCCACAAGGAAATTTTTACATCAGCATCAACAATGATGGAAACAACAGTTGACATTCAAATGCATCAAAAACAACAATAAATTCAGTGTAGCTTACAGCTTTTTCTCGAGCGCCACCGCCAAAGAAAGCAATAGATTCAGCATGAGTTCGCAGTCTTTCGTGCATGAACCTAATTAATATATAGTGTAAGTTATTATAATGATATGTGCAGCAACATCCAGATATAATAAAAATCACACACATGCAAAACGCATGCACAAACATGTTATATAAGCCCACGCATAGGCCCACAAGACAAACAAGAGTGCCACACATTGACTCAGCTATTCAGTTAACAAACATAGATGCCTGAGAGGGATAAAGGACAGAGGAAGGGGGATACACGTCTGGATTGGTGGGAAATAAAGAGCCAAACCATCACATATGCTATACTGGCTAATGAGTCTCCCCAAAAATTCTTTTCATTTATCTGTTTAAATTATTCATTAGCTGTTATTATACACGGACGAAAAAATCAAAACAGACAAACAAAACACACAAGGGTGTTCAACGATAGGGTAAGGGAAGGCTTTGCCTTGTAAACCACAAACCTAGAGGGAATGCTACTGGCGACGAAGTGCATAATGAAGGAAAGTTGAAGTGTATTAACATGAAAGAAGCCAAATCTATACGAGACAGGAGAAAAGAGTTTTTTTTTTTTCTTTTCTTTTCTGTCAAAACTTAATCTTTTCAAAACCATTTCTTTTTCTCTTCTTTTTTCCCCTCCTCTTTTTCAGTGAGAGCCACCATTATGTATCGTTATATGCTCTAACACTTGATTGTATGGCAGTAATAGCTATGAAAAATGGGTAAAAATAAATATTTCTAGCATCAGACAGTTTCCAAAACCACTGGGTTTAATGGATTCTTCTAGTTTTTACTTGTTACTACCCAGCTAAGTTCCTGAGCTTCACTGTTCAAACTACCAGATCAATTGAATTTACAACACCAGTTTATATCTGTTTTTTTGGCATATATATTCAAGCAAGAATTTCCGTGTGCAAGTACAGCTAGCATGCTTAGTATTAGTAGAGCATAGATTCTAAATCAAGATGGAATTACCTAAAGGTTCCCTCAAGTTGTTGTTCTCGACTTGTCAAATCACCAAAATCAGGAGTAACAGTCCTTAGAAAACCCAGACCAAGCAACATATATGCATACAAAATGGCAACGCCCCTCCTTCCAGTTAACAGCTTCATTCTCCAGGTGAACCTTATAAATTGCAGCATTATTAAGAACTTTTCTTAGAAGATAGATAAGGGAGGGAGGAAAGGAACATATACTTTCAAAGCCTAGAATCAAGATTACACAGAAACCAATACCATAATAAATAATAACAAAATTTACATAATGTACTCACCACAAAATATCAACAGATGGCTTTACCATTCCAGTAACCAGTCCTGATAAATCAGTGGTTAACTTTTCAAGATCATGAGTTATTCTTTGATCTGCATCAATATTTTTGCTTGACATGTGAAAGACCTACAAGGAGATGCATTTGGTGTGAATTTACCATTGCTAAGTTCTAGGTAATAGTGGTGAAAATTATTAACACTGTGCAATGCCTGCCAAATACCCAGGCAGCACATGTTTCTGAGCGGAACCAATCACCTGGTAAAAAGCATTATTTCTTAAGTAGTTCTTTAACAAATGTTGAGTCAATCTAATCCTCCATCCCAGGGCCAGCCTAGCTGTCAAGTGCCTGTAAACCAAGAAATAGGTTCTTTAAACAGATATTTTTCACCGAGAAGGCATGAAACTAGATATGCAACTAAAGCTCGGGATGAGTATAAAACTTCTGTCATAAATTTCATACCACCGAGAATCAAGTATAACCATAGTCTTATAAAGCACTAAAAAAATACTCTTAGTAGAAATATTACTGGAGGTTATGAATATAATAGTAAATGCATGACTGACATTCATTCTCTTCGTTCGAGCCAGAGCTCCACTCAGAAGTTTACCAGCATGACTTGAAGTAATGGAAAAATAAGAACGGACATGAGCCATGCATAGGATAACCATGACATAGTTTATCAGAAGTATCACAAATGTATATATTATTTAACAGTCACAGATTACAGGCAAAAACAAACCAACAAGTTAGACATACAGTGTTCTGCATGAAAATTGGCTACCCAATCTGCACATACAGCACAACAAACATACTGAAACACAAAATGAAAAGACTTAATTGGAGTTCAAAAGATATAGAAATTAAGGTTTCACTTAATAAATTCCAAACAATAAGAAAAATTAAAGGTCTGGAATGCAAGCAGAAAAGAATGAAAGGGGGGAGGAAAATCTATACATATGCATAACAGCATAAGTTTTGAAGAATTTGTAATAACATGGAAGGAATAGATCTAGGCAAAACTCCTGCTATATAAGAAATGCCCAATATCGTAAATAAAAAAAAGTAGAACTGAAAAAGAACTAAATAAATTTTTTCTTTAAAAAAAAATCCCTTAAAGACTCTTGCAGTCTACTATAAGTTGTCTAACCTTTACAAGTATCTGGTCTACTTGAATTTTCTGCATGCTGCCTTTGGCAACAAAAATTTTGGACCATCCAGATTCAAATTAAATATTTATACCACATGTTACTTTCACTTATTGGGTGTAGGGGAATGAAATAATAATTTAAATGACATATGATAGAAACGTATAAATAATGCTAAATCAAGGATTTACAAACTGCACAAATCACAAAACTGTCAAAAACTAACAGATATATCTTTGTCTATTCACATCTCCCTCCTTTTATTTAGTATTTCATATAGAGGAAAATACATGCTGAAAAGAAAAAATTACCTCAAGGAAGGAGCAATGAAAGAAGATGCAGCACTTTGAAGAACACTTATACCAATTAATCGGATAAAGGCTGCCTTGTCCTGCTTCAACACATACTTCACAGTCGTTCCTGAGAATTGATGCATATAGATAACAATAAACAATCCCTCAGATTTCAAAATAGATATAACGTAAAGAACATAGTTAGAATACCATTCAACGATGCAATCCGATCTGATATCCATGTTCTCGAGACAACAAGAAACGCAACTGTAAGTAGTTGAGCTCCTTGTTTGTCTAATATGGTAGGTACCTGAAACACAAGAACTGAAGGTTGTAGACAAAAGAAATAAAAATTGTGGTAGGGGATTAGAACACCATGTGCTAACTAATACTAAGGATGCCTTGCACCTGGTTTACGTGAATTCAAATATTGCAGATAAGTAAATATCACAAAATTAATGCTCCATATGCTCAACAAATCTTATACAACAGTATTTAACCTACTTGTATCAGCTATGCCACAGTTATAGACATATATTTAAGAACATTAAGTGACAGGAGGCTGAGTCCATCATTACCAATCCATAATGGCATTACTTTGAGCAATTATTTTGTAGGACTCAAACTCTATGCTAAAAGGCAATTTAAATGAATCTACTATTGCTATAGAATTATTTCTAGGTATCTGAAACACCAATGAAAACTCAATTTAGAAATAACCTAGAACTCAATATAAGGAGGCGGGAGCAAAGTCATAACAACTACATAAGTCTCCTACTTATGACCTAGCAAACAAGAGAAGCTATATTTTGGGGAAACTCATCATTCAAGTCCAATCAAGACTTAGAACTTCACAAGCTCATATTGATACCAACTTTGGGCACCATTATGGGCAAATCATCCTTTAATCCACAACGTTAATTTATGTGACCAAAAAAGGCTCTTCCAAAACTTACCAGTACTTTAAACATGGCAGCTACTCTCAAAGGCAGCACTCTTGGAACCCTCTGAAGTTGTGGAACAACAGGCAATTTAACATCATGATTCACAAAGGGAGATGCTGCTATCACCTCTGACACATATGATTGTGCCTTTGGACTTGAGAATCCAGAATCCTAGACAAATTCACCCAAAATTTTGCAGTAAGATAAAACAGATCCAGTTGAACGAAACAAACACACAAGAAAACCAAAAATTCAGAAGGTTCTTAAGACCTTTTTAGCTGCAGTGAATGCACGTTGAACTGTAATGGCATCAGTTTGGCGGTCTGTTTCAGAAGGTTCAGTCAAATCAGTCCCATCTTCACTTTGTACTGAAGAATCCTCCCTGGAGATTTTATAGAAGTTTCATTAACACACACCAAACAAAAAACAAAAACTATAATCCCCAAAAATTTATGCTTGGTACCTTTTGTAATGAACTTTCCATCCTCCTTCCCCATCCAAGGACAAAACCACATCATGAAATGCAACTAGTGCTGGACGATGTGATATAGTTATGCATGATGTACCCATAGCTCTAACTTTAGCACAAAACCGCTCCTCCATATCAGTTGTCACAGCACTTGTGCACTCATCAAGAATTGCAAATTTAGGCTTATGGTAGAACAGTCTAGCCATCCCCAATCTCTGTTGCTCCCCAAGAGAGAGTTCATCACCCCAGTTAACCTCTTTCTCAGGTGGGTAACGATCCAATAGGTACTCAAGGTCAACCTGCATGGATAACAATGTTAATAATTAGTTTGAAGGTTGGCTATAAAACCCAAAAGAAATACAAAGCATCAATACAATTTTCAGAAAGTGAAAACAAGAAAAAGAATATGAGATGAAACTCAATACATTTTTCAATAGCTCCACCATTCCACTATGCGTAAGAGGTTCAACTTCCTGATATGCCGTAAGAGGATAAATTAACTGGTCGCGAAGGGTTCCAACAGCTGTATATGGTCTTTGTGGCACATAGAAAATTTCCTTATTAAGATCAGAACCAACCCCAGGTTTCACAATATGGCCTGATACCAGTGGCCAAAGACCACCTAAAACCCGGAAAAGGGAACTCTTTCCACTGCCATTTGGACCTTCAGCAAAGAAAAAACAAAGATTTAAACTGGCCTAAAGATCACAACATGGCTTTAAAACCTACACAAACAGGATTAAGTATTGCCTTTTCAAAGTTCTCATCAATAATTTCTAAAAGCCAAAAGAACAGATTAGATTTGGAAACTTGAACATAAAGAATATCATCATACAAATCAACAAATATACATCCATACTTACATACAGAAATACATATATATGTATTTATAAGACAAGAACAACCAATTTATGAATGTCAGCACATAACAAATAAATTGATATATCTATATAGACTTTTACTATTCACTGAAAGAACACAGAAGCAAGGACAATATTTGTCAAAAGCTAAATCTTTATAAATGTCATCATACCAAAGTATGTGCTACAAAGTAAAACATTGTTCTTAAATATAACTGTTACCAGGTTTGACATTTAAAATAAGCCCCTATGTGGTAAATATATCATATCAAGAACAAAGCACCACTTCAAACAGCCAAAACTTGCTTTTCGATTGCTATATAACAATTCTACAATAACTTGTTTAAGGTGACTCTAGTTTCCAATAAAAGCCCATACACTTCCTCAACTATAATAGAAGTTTAATAAAGAAAAGCATGTGTAAAAGACTAGGAGATAGCAACATAAGGCATATTAAAGGTAAATGTAAATCAAAATAATTTAAGCGGAAAAACTACCTGTAATCAAAAGATTAGATCCTGATTCAACCCTCAGAGAGAGATCCTTCACCAAAACATTCCCAGTTGGAGTGACAACCTAAATAGAATTTCTACAATTAGAACAAAAATTATGACTAAGGCATATTAAGAATTATATATGGTCCAACATCATCTCAATACCTTGACACCAGAAAACTCAACAGAATTAGCTTCACTGAAGTAATTCCTACTTCCAGCACTTTGCAGGGACGATTTTTTATCATCAGCACTTAGCTCTCTTGATATAAGCATCAACTCATGAATGCGGTCAGCATAACCACTGGAATATATTAAAAGAAACATATTAGCTGAACCAGAAATATTAGCTGAATAAAAAATATATATCTGAATATTAGCAGAACTAAAAGAAATATATAAGAATAAAACTTAATATTAGCTGAACCAGAAAGCTGTCTCACTCACGTTCATTCTTGTTACGATCAACAACAATTAGTCTACTACTGAGTGTGCAGCATATCCATCATGAATATTAAAAATGCAAAGGGTAAGATTTCAGAGGTTGCTTAGAAAATGCGTAATATTCCTGATTTGTTGCTTTTCTTCCAGAAATTATAAACACCTCTCAAAAACCAGAAGTCAACAAAGATATACCTGAGACGATTTAACCGCCTTGAACTTATAGAAAGAGTCCCCAGGGCCTGAAATAGTGAAATTACAACACTGGTGTGATATCTTAAATTGCTTAACATCTCTGCCCGTCCCAATGTTGAAGTGTCAGGTCTAAGATGGCCAGCAAAGAAAGGCTCGATAATCATAACAACAGCAACAGTAGCACCAAGATACTTCAATAAGAAGTCTTGAATCATGCCAAACCACCAATGATCATGAAGTACGACTCTCATGTGCCTTACAAGAGTCTTGAACTTCTGCTGAATATGAGATTCTTCTCTACTTTCTCCACCGTAAAATGCTATACTTTCTGCATGGGTCCTTAACCTTGAATGAAGCTGTCTATATTCTCCTTCCAACTGTTGTTCTTTGGACATTAGTTTCCCAAAAGCAGGAGAGAAGTTTCTTATTGCAGCTCCTGCTCCCAAAACATAGGCCTGCAAAGCAACCTCATATATTAATGTGACAACCAGACATTAGGATAATAACTACACTAGCACAGTAGTTGCTAGAATTAGCTGTTCCAAATACAAATGAATAGGACAAATAATTTACCAATATCCAGAAAATGTATTTTGGGCTAGCATAAGAACAAAGACGCCAAGTATAAAGCAGACCATCAGTAACTGCTGTCAAATCATCCTGTACAAGCTCACTCAACTCTGAACAGAATCTTGGCACATCACTTGCAATCCGTTGTTCAGGATTCCTAATCCGTCCATCAACATGTGATATTTTGTAATATGCCATATTCTGAAATCAAATATTTTATTGATAAACGATAGAGAAAACATAGTAATAACAAGAAAAATCCTTATAATGCATCCAAATCAAGAGATAACTTCCCAATTTGGAGTGCTTTCTCCTACATGAGAGAACAAATAAAGTAAAGCAAACACCATTCCCAGAGACAGAGATTGAATTTGCAATTTGTATATTAGATGGGTCCTCCAGAAATTTCACCACTGATAAGAAAATGTGCTTACTAGGTGCTATTACCCCTTCAGAAGTTTGCTATGTTACAACAACTGAGTAGATCTTTTCCGGTAACAAAATTTTAAATAATTCTGAACTTAACATGTCTTAAGTCTAGGAGCAATTTAGTCCCACAATGTTTTGGTTAAAAATATCACACACATTTAAAAGAAAAGAGGGACAAAAAAAATCTTAGATATAAAGAATATAAAACAAACATGTATTCCCCCTCACAGATGAAGATGTGCAAAGAAGATAAGATACTTCACTCATGCAGGAAAAAGTGAACAAAAAAGTATTCATGAATTATGATAGGAAGCACACCTGATCTAACCAGATTAAAAAATGAACATAGCTTAGGAAAAGAAATTCAAAAAATCAGTTATAGATAGATTACTCCAACATTGAAGGAAGAAGACTACCTCAAAGTAATGTGCATGGATGAGTTTTGTCAGTATTTTTCTGAACCTCAGACTTAGGGTACCAGTTATGTACTTTGAAGTAGAATAAATGGTTGACAGAAGAAAGCACAACAAAATGTTTTCGGATATTAGCCGGAAAAATGATGGCACACGCCGAAGAAAGGCAGCACGGAATAGAAATCCCTGCACTTTTGCTAATCTATTGCTCAAAGCAGTTCTCAGCACCTGCAAAAAGATATAAAGTAGATGCTTTACCTTAAAAGAACACAAAACCCCCAATGCTCAAGCTACTAAAACTCCTATGTTACATCCATCAGGAAGGAATTCAAATTTCCATTCACCTTTTTCACAGGTTTATTTTTCCCATTTGCTATATCTGATGCAATCACGAAAAGTGCAAGCTAAAATCAAATATGTGTTGATATCTGTCTGCATAGATGCGTGTATGATAAAATCAGATAGATAAAGTGCCTTGCCTAACCACTGCCTTGTTATGTTACTCATATGACCAAATACACTAGCTAAACTTTACAAAAAAAAAAAAGCAACTACACGTTTGGTAACTTCTTTAATTTCTAGTATTTTTCCTTCCGGATCAATGTATCCAGAGAATTATTACAATACCCAGTCAAGGGGAATGAGGGGTGGTGTCTGGGTGTTGTACTGAGATAACAAATTGTCATTGTCTAGCATAAAGATGGATTTGAACCAAGGCCTTTTACTATTTGCCACTTACCACCAGATCAAGTGGCATCTCACCAAAGATTCAGCACAAAAATTCTAAATAACCCACGTTTTAGGAGGGTAAAAATTCGGACTGTCTTTGACTTTGTTATCTGGTCCATTTTCTTAACAATGTTTGTGATTGCAATGAAGAAGGTTGCTATGAAACAAATAAAATATAAAGGATAGCAAAACTTAGAAAGCAAGCAACATATTATACAACGGTAAGTTGGAAGTACACAAAAAGGCATACCGCTATGCCCACCAAAGCCAAAAGATCTCTTGCACCTATTTGGCCCATCTCAGATAGAAGAATTGCTGCTAGAACCTGAAGGGACTTCAATCCACTTTTCTTTTGTGTAGTTCCCGTTACATTATTATTGTTTTTAACAACCTCATCAGAATTTTCTCTATTCTCTCGGACCCCATTGTAATGACCATATGAATTGGGCTTTTTACTCCTAAACCGTGATTGCACATAAGCAGCAGCACCACCAGCAACCACAATACCAGAAGCAAGCAATAGCGCTTTCCTGTGAAACCAAAAAAAAAAAAAGGTAAAATACTAGACAGTCACTGGGGAAGAAGTTGAGACGAAGGCTATGCCACTTCAGCATTTCACATCAGAAGAGGATCATTGCTGGACATCCAACAGAGCCCCACTGGATGGGTAGGGTGGGGAATAATATCATGCCACATAATATAAATGACCTTGATACTATGGTAACATACAGATAAAAAACTGCAATAATATTGAACAAAGACTAAAGCTTCAGAAGAAAGATGGTTAATTAAAGTTAAATTCAAGCATCTAAGCCCTTTGGGAAAAGTCTAATCTTTCTACCATCAATTAATACAATTTTAGGAAGACATAACTGGACCTGGCTTAAATCACAAATGCCCCGTTACAAGATAGTATTTTTTTTCCAACATCATTTTCACAACAGAACATTCCCAACTAATAGGGGGGTTTCCTACACTACTCAAACCAAACATTCCCCACTTGTCTTTTTCTAGGTAACTCTGAAAAATACCTTCATTCCAAGTAGTTAACCTATTTGAAAACTTTCCAGGATAATTATGATTGAATTTTCTCTTTAGATCCCAGGCTTACAGGAAATCTCCTCCTCTTAGAGGGAGACATAGCCATGGGGGGTGAAGCCCCAAGGGTTAGTTGTAAACCTAATCCCAAAGGCACAACTCAAGACCAGATCCTATACAAATACAATCACTCCCTAGAACAATTGAGTGTCTCAATCCCCCTCTTTGCTTGTCTTGGAAAAAAATAATAGTGTTATGAATTTCTTTTTCATGTCATTGTCCTCTGAAATTTTGAGAACGTTTTATAATAATCAAATGAACAAATTTCAGATTTTTTAAATTGCTAAAAACAGATGTCTTGATAAAATAGTTGCTCCCAAAATTGTACCAAATGCCAACAGACAGAGAGTTGAAAATAAGCAAGGCTCTTTCACAAACCAAATTTACAATGCAAGAAGACCCCTACAAAAAGACCATGTATTGCATTATTCTTCAAACATTTTTTAAAGCTTTAAATATGTGTAAAGGATTAAGCCTTTCTTTATGTTACTCACATAAACCACTCATAGTATCATTCACCTTCAGTATAAACCACTCATCAGCAACCCCAAACAAATACAAGCTCTTAAGAGACATTTTTCTTTATGTTACTCACATTCATCAAGAAGTAGACATGAGGAAAGAATTAGGAGAAAGGAGAGACACAAGCTAATACTTGCTGTAGCAGACATCTAATATATCGGTGATATCATTATCAAAACCAAAACAGAAAGAAGCACCAACTCTTATCATGTATACAGCAAATAAATTGACTTAATTAAATGTGTCAACATCAGTATTTAAATTGATTATCACCAATAAAATACATCGTTACCTCCTTGAGGCCAGAAGACTTCGACCATGCTCAGTTAACTGCAACAGTTGAAGAGAAGGCATTGTTGAAGCTGGACCTCTACACGGTAGCACAGATTAGCAACCAAGCAAGGAGGCAATAGTCTGAAATGCATTAGCAACGATTGTCAAACAATAACACTCCAAGCTTTGGATTTCCCGACAGCCAATATGGTAGGAACCAATAAATAGAAGGAGGTATGGATAGTACAAATTACTTTCTAAGCATAAGTGAAGAATCTTCACTAGAAATTTACACAACAATATTAATTGTTATATGAGACAATATCAATGTGTATTATCTCTTTTATATAATTTATTATACATGAAAATCAAGAGGATACACAGAACAAGGGGAAAGGATTATAGGTGAAAATAAAATTGAAGAAGAAAAATTCATAGTAGAGAAATTAGTGCATGGCAATTTTTTCCACATCCATTAAAACATCCCAACATCTTCCCTACCCCCCAAAAAACCTTTCTCCAGAATTTATGGCCATCGGCCAACAAACTTGAAACTGAATAAGAGGGTAGCCGTTACACCATCTAATGCATCAATAGCAAAAATACTGCTCTGCAGAAGGAAAGACCATTGTAACAAATTCACATTATAAGAGAACATAAGATCATTCTCCATAAGCGAGACCCAGTTGTTTAACAAGATAAAGCAGATATTTGTCTAGAAAATAGGAGAAAAAAATACATTCTTACTATTGTCTGGCAAGAGCTTCACAATTCACATCCAAAAGCCAAAAGTGTTAATCATGCTCCATCAACAGTAGATGTTGGCAAGAGAGCATACTTCAATTTGTCTTAATATGAAAATTTCTTAGCAGTGAATGTGCCTCGTAATATCGCTTCTTATCAACAATTCTCAACAGTAATCAGGCATTACACATCTGTGAGATATATTATAAAAACCATCAGCAAACCAAACCCGATAATGGAGTATTTAGTAGAAAAATTACAAGGAAAAAGGAAAAGCAGCAACAACAAACACGTAGATAATTATACACCAAGAATTACTGTTGAAATTCAGTAAGATGTTTGTTGGAGAGACAAGAGTACACTGAAGAGCATATCTTGACAAAGCAAAAATTGGGTGATGCTGTCATGACCTAGATTTATTTAATCTGGTTCTATTATTAACAGGTGATTAGAAATTGAAAAGAATAAATGGCTGAAAAAAGCGAAGAAATGGATAAAGTAAAGCTGTGCAACTGTTGTCTTGTTCAAGAATACAATGTGTATACAAGTTGCCACACCTGGACAGATGAAGATCTAAAGGAACACAACAGAGGCAAATTGAGTGTCACAAATAAACTGAATGATATTGGTTTCGTTTGAACAATTCTTAACCTATTGCAAACTCCACAGTTTGGATAGACGAAAAAAATGTACATTCTTCATTTTGATATAAAATAACAGACTGCAAGCAACACCCACCACAACCCCCCCACCCAAAAAAAAAAAAAAAAAGAAAACCTGACAATAATCCGTTTCATTAAATAGTTGTTAAATTAACCTTGAGCCATTGCCAAGCTTGCAACCAACTTCAAGTTCTAACACCTAGTTGCCACACTAGAGATCAGGCGGATACCCACCCTCTGCCACAAACCAATCAAACTGGTCTCAAACACTAACCACGTCAAAGTTTACCACACCAAACCACAAAAGTAGCCAAAACAAAAATTATAATTGCCGACAACATAAAGCGAATTAAGGTTGCTTGATTTAATAGTAATTCAAACAACTAACTAATGCAGTAATTATAATATTTCCAATCTATACACGCAACAACCCTTGCAAAGCTATAATTCTATAATCTTTCCTTTCCTCTTTTACATTCTCAGCTCAATTTTTCAAAAACCAGCTGAGCAAAGCTATATCCCCTCTATCGTATTAAATTTTTACAACTTCTTCAATGTTCGGCCTAAATTTTGCGAATTCAACTTCATTGGATTTTCCGTGCATCAATTTTCCATATTAATTTAATATTTTTTTTAAAAAAAACTTACGCAGTCTTTTTTTTAATTTTGCAAATAATTTCCTAAAAATTATTAAGCATAAAATTGATGCATCTAAACTTAGCCTAAACTAATTAAAGCCGAAAATTCAGAAAAAAAATGACTAAAATTACCTGAAAGCTAAAAAAAAAAATTCAAACTAGAGAGTGACTTTTTAAAGATACCTGAGCAGTAGCAGCAAAAGCTCGCAAAACTACGTCACATCAAAACAATGGAAACCACATTAATTTTTGCAACCTCTCTCTATCTCTTATTCTCTCTAAGTGAAATTCCCACCGCTTTCTTTCTTTCTTTCTTTTTTTGTTCTTTACTAATAACAAAAATCGCCAAAATCTTCAATCATTGAACCAAAATTCAAACCCTAGACTTTTGCTTTTTCATTTTTGGGAGATTTTTTTTGCTAAATCGAAGATGAACGGACCGCACCGGATGAACAGAATTCCAAGGAAGGACGAGAGAGAAATGAGAAGAAACTCGAGTTTAGAGTGACAGAAGGGCCAAGAGAGCCTAATAGGTGATGCAATGAATGATGAGCTCTTTCCGCAGCTTATTTATAACTTCTTTTTATATTCCAAAATTTGTTCTGAGCGAAATCTTTTATTCCTTTTTCTATGCAATAAAAAACTTTTTTTTTACCTTCTTTTTTGTTTTTTTTATCTGTTCAATCCAAATCAAAGAAAATTGTGAGAATGCGTGAGTAAAAATTTTATAGGCCCTTTTGGTAAGCACCAGTAATTTGTAAATAATATTATCAGATATAATACATTCCTCTCTTGCATATACAATGTTTATAAATTATAAATCTTAAATTATTTATATAATCTAAGTAGAATAATTAGTTTACTAAACCTAAGTTAAAAGTAGATTTTGAGAACATTATAAATAAAATAACGTGGTATCATTTGAATGAGAGAAATATATGCTGATATTATGAAATAACAATTTTACTTATTAAGTTAACCCTTCTAGTATAGTATTGTTCAATTAAAGTTGCATAAAACGCTACCATGTCAAAGAGTATGATGAAATAACAATAATACACTATTTGTATCTTACATTTCTTTCTTCTAGAAGATAGTTCTCTTTTTATCTTGGAAGGAATCGTTTTAGCCTTTGAAACTCTATTTTGAGTTTTAATAAAATATTATAAAAATAATAAATCCTTGAAAAATGGCTAAACAAATGACAACATAAAGTTCACGTATATTTTTATTTTTAATTTAATGTCTAAGAAACATTAGACAAAAATAATATTTTTAATAAAAAATGTTTTAATTATACAAATGTTTCTCTTTCATTTTTAATTTTTGAAAACTAATAATTATAGTGTCACTTGTTATTTCATTCATAATTTCAATGTAATAGTCTTTCAACAATTGGAAAAAGTGGCAATCATTCATGGCACGAGTTTTCTTTGGGACCACATCATTAATTTTTAATCAACCCTCCCTAGTCAAATATAATAATTAAATATAAATAAACTATATAAAATCCAACGGTCTAAGTAACAGTACTGTAAATTATTTCTAAAAAATATGGTACAAACCCACTATGATGTTGTTACACACATGACATGAGTCAATGCAATTTTCTAATTGTTGGATTTGAGCACCATGGTAGAAATTATGTGTTTGTATTTTTTTAATAATTAAGAAAATAAGATTTAAATCTTATTATTTAAGTAAAAAATATATAATAACTAATAAAATCAAATACTCATATACATTTACATTTTAATTCTTTCAACTTTCAATTATTACTTTCTCACTTTAGTCTAAAATTATTAAGACAACCCTTTCTTTTCATTTTTATAATTGAATTTGCGTTGATGTCTATTTTCTAAAACAATTCTATGTTTCAAGAAACTAAGAATATAAATTATTTTGGTTATTTCCAAGTGCTTTTATAAATTTTATCTCTGCTTGCTTGATATTTTTATCTTTTATTTTGTATAAAAAATAAATTCAAAAGAAAAAACAAAAATTAACATTCTTTATATAAATTTCAAGAATTTTGACAAGTGTCTAGTTAATGAATGCCTATATGTATTTGTTAAGGTAAATGAAATCTCTATTTTATGATTTTTTTTTGTTTATTTCTCACCACTTTTAAAAGAAGATAATGTATCGATTACAAATTTTTTTATAAATATTATCATAACAAGAGCATAAAAGCACCGTTTAACAACAAATATACATTATTTGGTATTTTGAAGGTATATATAAATGTTTCAAAATATTAAGTTCAATAATTAAGGTATATTATTTCTCTTGAAATAGTTGTGTTCTAATTATTCTTTTAAAAAAATTATATATATAAATGCAATAAAGTATAAAAGATTAAAGTCCATCTCTCCCTTTAAAGAAAAAACAAAGTCAAATCTCTATAAACATCGCAACAAAGTCAAAATCTTTAAAGCCGAGTACAACACAGGTAAGCTAGGAAAGGTCACTAAAGCTTACTGTAGCGTAATGTAAAATGACAATTATGTATTTATATAGAAAAAAGTTGTAAAATGAACAATTATTTTATGTATTTATATAAAAAGACTTTTTCATTATTTTCTTTTTTTACCAAATATTTGTTTTTGTAAATATTTATTTTCCTCGAGCGTGCATGTTAAGAGAGAGAGTGAGAGAGAGCTAGAGGAGCAAGTAGCCAGAAAGGATGCGCGGTTTCGAATGGCGTGACGTAGGCACTTTTTTGAGTTTTGGTGAAATCCATAGAGATAGCATAGCATGGCATGTCTGTCATTGCGTGGAAGGCTTTGGGAAATGGAATTCTTTTGTCTGTTAGCAGAAGAAAAGTTTTTGTTGAACTTGGATTTTCTTTTACTTATTTTATTTGATATGAGAAATATCAATATTATTAATACCAATATTTATTATTAAATTAAATGCGACGGTATTTTAATCTTTCTTCTCCAATGAGAGATTAGGCAGTGGGGACTTGTTCGTTTAAAGCTATAGGTGAGGAAATAAAAATGGTACCAAATGGTCCTAACTCCCAACACCCACCGTTGGAATTTAAATTTTTAATTAAAGGTTACCTTTTTTAAAAAAAAAATTTGAGGGAAGAAAAGGTTGTTTAATAGTGGTAGAAGAAAGCTATCATTCAACCCCAATTTTTTACTAACTTCACGAAGTCTACTGTATTTTCATAACCTATATTCATTTACTAGATGTCCCAAGTTGATAACATTGTAAGAAATTAGATTTTTGTTTCTTTTTTGTTTAATGATCAAATATATAAAATTATTATTCTAAAATATCAATAATGAAATTTTCAAACTCTATAAACAAATTTATAATTCAATAAACTTACTTAAAAATTCAACTTTTCAAGTTAGAGTCTATTTGGTAATCATAAAAAAAATTGTTGAGAAAAAATCTTTTCTATATTTTATAAAAAAATTTAATATCTCTATTATTTAGATAAATTATTAAAAATATTTTCTATTACTTAGATCATCTTTTGAAAAATATTTATCTCAAACATGTAAGTGCTTTATTATTATGTTTTATTGTTTTGAAGGAAATAAAAGGACGTTGATTTAAAATTTTATTATTTTGAGCATAAGTAAAGCTAGTCAACTTTTGTTAAGAGTCAAAGACAAAAAAATAGAAGTTAAAAATTTTAAAAATTAATATATTAAATTTAATCACAAATCAAAAGATTGAAAATAAAAAAGAATTTTATATAATATAAAATAAAATAAAAACAACAGGTCTTTTAGGAAAGTTATACTGGATCATGTTTTTTGAATTCAAATCTATCAATTATTAATTATGTACAGAAAAATATCAATTTTTTTAATATTGAATGTTAACTATTTTTATTCACATTACTTTTATTTATGAGTTGAAACTTGGTGGTTTAAGTGTAAGCGAATCATTTGGACAATTTACAATTTTTTTTTAAGAATTTGTAAATTATTTTCAATTACTTATATTTTAATCAAACTTAAAAAAATTAATGCAATCAATATCCAAATTCTTATTTTATTTTTATTTAAACTTATAATACTAAATATAAAACTATAACATATAAATATAATTAGTTAAATACAATATGAAAAATTAAAAATTTTCTCTTATATAATCAGGGTTGTTTAAAGATTATATGTTCAATATAATTTTCTTCAATTAAATATAAAACGTAAAACACATAAAAAAATATATTCAAGTTAATTTCTTCTTACACAATCTGGATTAATAAAAAATAATATATTATTAAATTTTTAAGTGACAATGCAACACTAAAACTTATATTTGAAAATTAAATAATAATTTATTAATTTTTAAAGATTAAAATCATAGATAATAAAATTTACATAATAGAAAAAAGAAAAACATAATAAATAGAAAATAGATACCATATATAACATAACAAAAGAAAAAAAAGAATATAGTTGATGGTTAATAGAAATTTGAAAAGAAAATATATAGGAATTTAAAACGTATGAACAAATAGATTATAAATGAAAAAAATAATTATAAATTAAAATTAATAATACAAATTAAAAGAAAAATTAAAAAAAACTAAATTTAATATGTGAGATCATTTTGTTATTGTTTATTTGTATTAATTATTAAATAAAAAATTATATTGAAGAGACATTAAGAAAATATATAAACATTTTTTAAAAATTTATATGATATGAATTTTTCTTTTTTTAATTTTGGAGGGCTACGACCATATCACTTAATGAGGTGCCATCCTTGGTTTTGAATGAAATAAAAGATGAATATTTAAATTATATTAAAAGTTAAGGATGATAGGTGGCGTTTAGTAATTTACAATGCAATGTGATTATTGGTAATGTGATTGTAAGGAAAATAATATTACAGTGTTTGGTATACAAGTAAAATAATGATTAAAATGTAAGGAAAATAACATTGCAACGTTTAGTTTACAAATACTTTGGTAAGAATGTAATGTTAATTTTTAAAATTACTCATATTTATTAAAATATAAATTTAATATACTTATATTTTTTATTGTTAATTTTTATGTAATATCATCCATTAAATATAATTTTAATGTCATATATTTTATTTTCATTTCTTATTATAATCTCATATATTTTATTTTCATTTTTAATATAATTTTTTATATTATGTATTTTATTTTAATTTTTTTTACCTATATTATATAAATTTTAATTTCTTATATTTTATTTTAATTTTTGATTCTTATATTATATATTATATTTTAATATTTTTTATTTTAATTATAATATTATAAAATATTTTTAACAAGGTAATAAAATTGAAGGATAAAAATATATTTAAAAATATTACAAAATACAATATAATGTAATTGTATTGGTTTTAGATTATAATCGCATTACATCATTGGCTGTAATGTGATTGTATTGCAATCTTATATTATATTAGTTTTTTATAAAATAAATAATATAATATAATATAATTAGATACATTATAAAAAATATACTTTCATTTCTCTCATACCAAATACTAATATAATATTAAAGACTTAGGGCTTTAGGATAGGATTTTTTTTTTCCTAAACAAGAGTCGTTTTTGTTTTAGCGTGACAGAAGTTGTCTTACACCCCTCAAAGTTGTAAGACAATTTTCAAAGTCAAAGAGTCTTTTATTTTCAGTCATTCAAATATCATTATATCTTAAAAATATTTTTTGAAAAAGTTTATACTTCAAAACAAACGCGCCTTTAAATTTGAAATTCTAACTTCCAAGATAAAATTTCCTTGATCAATTTTTATTTTGCTTCTTTTTTTTTCACATGTTATTTATTTTTATCATAATTGAATTATGATATAAGAAAAAATCTTTTTCATATAGAATAAATTAAATTTTTTTATATTATTATGTTTGTTTGTTGCTATAGCAAATTTAGAAGACCCCGGTAAGGACCGGATCTTTATAGTCCAAAAAGCGGTACACGTGACGTGCCAGTGTGCCCCAATATTTAGGACTGAAAATTGAATTATCATTTAATAAATAATTAAGATAAGCTCCAACTACTAAAATATGACATGGACAACTGCTAGCCACAAATAAATTAAGAGTCTAACTTATAACAATAGACGTCACATAAAATCCACTAGCAGAACAGTTAACTATCTTGATGTCTGTGCTAAAACTTGAAATAAAAAAGTCAAATCGCATCTTTGCTACCAGAGACCAACCTGAACAAACTTCATGGTGCGTTCCCCGAGACAGTTTATTTAAACACATGCACATCTCTAAATCATTGCTCCATAAATATTTAAAGACGTGCAGAAAGAATATAAGTCAATATTATTCATGTTTATAATTTTATTTATGAGTATGACTTTCTAATATCCTCTTAATACGACACTTCTTGATGATCTTTTTAAGAACATTGTTTTAATTTAATTAAACGATATTATGAGAATTTCATTCTAATATGTTATGATGGTGTAAATATATTATTTTTATAATACAAAAGTGAATATATGATGATCATATGATAAGTTATAATTACATATCAAATCTTGAATTTGTTAAAACGTTAAATAGACATAATAGAAATGTCTATATAGAAATTTCTCCCTTTCAAATTGAGCAATTTTTTTATTGGTGAGAAAAAGATTCGAACAAACTCTTTGATAAGAAAATACATGCACCGAGCATTGAGCTAAATATACTTAGTTGTAGATATACCCTTTCCATAAACCTCATAACTAGCATGATTATCCAGTACTTTTCCCACACAATAAAATATTGAACCATCATAAGAGATCACAATTATCATTTAAATATGATAGTTCAGTGTCAAAAACCCTTAAGGGTTTTATATACACAAGGATCTTGAGATCACTCAAAGCTTCAAACCCCTCCAGACAAAATGGTTCTCTACACTCAAAATCTATTGTCACTTTTCTACAGTTGAAATTAACAAGAACAAATCAGAATAAAAAAAAAATAAAACAAATATGAAATGTTTGTAAAACAAGTTTTACCTCCAAACACAATGACAAAAGACAACTTTTCCTTCTAACTTGCTTCTTCTAAAACTAAGCCAGACATGAGAGCAACTTTAAGCGCAACTAGGCTATAGCTTCAGTGTATGAGATAACAGATGCCAAATCATGGTAGCTTTTGTTCACTGGACGGCTACATCCAAGCTGTTTGTCCTTCATCATAACACTCATGGTTCATCAGTGAGCTGCACATTGAATCCGTGCTTTATGTCTGTAAAATTCAAGCAACCAAAACATTGCTCAGGATTAATGGCCAAAAACAACACATTGTTTAGGTTTCCAACATCATGGGCCCCATGCAAACAAAGAACTATACAAAAACTTTGTTCATGTTGTTGTTGAGCTGAAGATTGAGAAAAAAAGAAAGTCTATGCTTCCACCCCTTAACAGAACCATATATTAAACATGCAGGAAAACTACCTAAGGATGAAACTTAGTTCACACCATGGTAACAAGCTGTACAACATCATAATTCCTTAATAAACATATATAACACTCCCGAAATTAATCATTTAAGAGTGCACTTCATTCAACCCCTCAAGCCCAAAAAGCTGATATAAGAATGTATGCATTTGTCCATGTCTTCATTCTCATGATATTCTAACAAAAGTCAAATCAACAATTTTATGATGCTACAAGTCAATAGCATTATCACAGATTAATTATGACAGACATTCCAGTTTCTTATTCTAACATAAGCAAACAACAAAAGATAGCCAAACACTCTTCACACGTTCTTCTGGTCTTCGTATTGCTTGCTTTTGTGGAAGATATTTTTGGCTGCTATAGAGCTCAGGAAACAAACTTGCCTTCTTTTTTTCTTTAGACTTTTTATGATTATTATACCATTCTGTCCTATCTTTTCCTTGAAAGCCACAATTCATCACTTTTTTTAGTCTTAATCTATTCTTCTGGACTAAAAACAGAAAATTGAAACATTTCCCATTGACACATGACCATTCAAATTTAATCCCCAGCCCATGTCTCCCAAATCAAAGTTTCATTACAAGAAAAAAGAAAAGATTACAGTATTGGCTTAATATATAACAAGAAAATGTCTGCTTAGTTGTTTTCGAAATTAAGAACTATTTTTATAAATCAAATATAATTATATTATATATATCAGTTTTATAATACATAAATAACTTCATATGGTCAACCAACAAGCCAAAGCTTAGCAAACTAGCTTTTGTCTGGGGCGTAGGATCAACTCATTTTGCTAACAATCTCAAGTACCAAATCAAGTCAACACTTGAATGTAGCTCAACTGTATAGAAGAGCGGGTTTCTACAATATTCTAAGTTCAAGTAGGGTGGACAACAAATGTGTAAGACTTGGCCCCTCTAATAATTAAGTTGCAGGACAAATCCGAAGTTTTTGCATCCTTGCAATAAGAATAGGGTAATAATAAAATACTGGCAAACTAACCAATTTTACTGCTCAATATGTAACATGATTTATTCCCACCAGTAATATGCAAACAAAGTTTGCATCCAAAAAAAAAAATGCAAACACAGCAACTTGAAACCCTAAAAGCACTGAGATTTTTCTGTTGGCCAGAAAGGATTTTATTCCACCAATATTGGGAGAAAAAAAAAATCCATACAATGAATTATCTAAGAGGTCTTAACCAACAACAGAACCCATTCTAAGAATCTTGTGTGAGAAGTCATATAAAACAGAAATCTCTAAGATTTTAGACCAAAAACTAGGAAGTGGGTAATCCATTTCTACTCAGAATGTACATCAAGGAATATGTAGGTTAATTTTTTGAAAAGCACAATCCCTCTTTGACTGGTTTGCCACCCAATCTGCAGCCATATTAGCTAAAAGCATTGATCATTTAGTTACACATAACCAATAGAATTTAAAAAATTTAATTAAGGGATAAAGAACAAATTCTTCTAAACTATTTTATCCTTCTGGATTTTATAGGTTTTCATTTCATTCAGAGGCTATATAACTTTTGAGACTGCGGTGGGCAAATACTGTATTTCCTATAACGATAAAAATGTTTTGGGTAGGAAGGGAAAAAAGATATGCTCATAGCCAATAGAATGCTTATATAAGCCGTCACTTGATTTTGTAAAGATCTGTTCCTCAATGAATCTCAAAATCTGTTTATCAATAATCATAATGGCAAAGTTGTTGACATAGAAGAGCTTGCATGGCATCTTAAAATGATGCAATGGAAACATAGAATAGCGGAAATTGAGAATGTATTAGCAGGAGAGTCTAAATTGCAACCTCCTCTTTTGAAGGGGATAAAGGAGGTATGTCTATGAAGTGGGCTATGCCCCAACAACTGCAAGATAACTGTTAAATGATGATATGTTGATATCATATTGCTATGTAGTGAACAGGGCCCCCACCCCTCCTTTTCAGCAACCAAAACAGGAATATAAACAGATTTCCTTCTTTCAATTATAATTATTGTTTGTTACTGTTTAGTTGGTCACAGATGCAAGAACACTAAACATGTCAAAGTTTTATAAAGCATTAAAATATTCAATTTTACCTTTCATTGAGGGTTTTTCATATTTATCTTTCCTCTCATCTTCATTCTTCCATTCGCTATCATCATCATCATCGTCACCCATTTCATCCCTTCCATCATTTCCAATATCACTTTCACTAGCTGTCTCCCATTCAGAGTCATCAGTATCCTGGCCATACATGTCACCTGCATCACCCTCACAATGCACACCCCCCAGTTTGATAGCTGCCTCTCTAAATAACCAAGCTGCACGCATCTGCTTCTTGACTAGCCGTTCGGCATAGTCAGGAACCTTATTTTGCCTCACTGAAAGATCAGGGTCATTTGACTGGGAGCATTCGTTTATGAAGAGAATGGCGTCTAGCAAGCTCTCTTTAGCTAAACCGAGCATGTCATAAGCCTGAGCTCTTCTCCATAGGCTTTTGGCATGACGATTAAGTGGGTTGTGAAGACATAATGCACGTGAAGCATCACTAATGGCTGCCGATGGTTGCTGCAATAGAAGATGACACTGAGCTCGATTACTGTAGAGAACAACTCTCTCTTTCTTGGATCTCATTGGACACAATGATAGTGCTTCTGAGTATTTTGATGCAGCTCCAGATATATTTCCTGATGAGAAAAGAGAGTTTCCTTCAAGCTTGACCACTAGAGCAGCAGCCTGTTTTATATGGAGATCCTCCTTTGGCATATTCTTTTCCCACTTCAATCTCTGCCTTGAACTCAACAGTTCTTCTATCAGTTCTTTTGTGCGGTTACTGAGAGAGCTGCGTCCTGTCCCTTGAGATTGAATACATTCCTGAAGAACATTAACAATGGAATCTCCAAGCTTTTTGTGATCACCCAGAGTTGTAATCTCTGCAAGGTCTACTAGAGCAGGTACTGCCTTATCTATCACCTGTATGACAAATGAATATGAGTTCTATGGAGACTACCACAGCTATATCCCAAAGCCAAAAGTGAACAACTTAGTCGTGTGTCACATAGTTAAGTTTCTAATGGAGATAAGGCTCTCGACCAAAGGTAGTTGTATCAACATAACAAAACCTATTCTTGGACTTCATGTGGCAGCTTTAGAACTTAAAGTAAATATAAACTAAACGAATGAATGAATAATTAAAACAAACCAACATGTGGATGCTTCTTCATTTACTTAACTAGTTTCGGTACAAATGCTCAGGCTTTCTATATGTCAGGAATCAAGATATTTTTTATATCTGATAAATGACAAAAAAACAAAATGAGGGCATAAGTCTGAGTACCTTGACTGCATTACAAGAGACTTTACTCAAAAAGGAGGAAGTCAAGGTCAAGCAAGATCACAAGAAAGTATCACATCTCCCAGACACCTTTAGTTTGAGTTCAAGACATATGTCCCACATTGAAAAAAGAAAGGAGCATTCCCCAAATGTTTCAGAATTTTAAATGAAATTTTGATCAAAAGCAATCTACATGGCTGCATGGCTTATTAGATGATAATATAATTCTTCAATAGAATATATATGAAGATGAACAGCAAATGTTGGTGGATATGGCAAAGAAAATATCATCCTGGTACTCATATAATACCTCTTAAAGTTATTGAGTCCAAACTCCCTCTTCCCCAACTTAACCATCCAAAAAATAAAAAGGTGAAATGGAATTCAAATAAATTAAGAAAGTATGCATGCTCAATGATTTTGATTAGATTCCATTGAAGAAATAGAGTCTGTTGTTACAGAAGATGGGCACTGCAAAAGAGAGACTCAGTCACAAAATGTGGTCATAATGGGAAAAGACAACCCAAAAGGTATCAGAGACCCCAGGCCTTCTACACCAATATGGAATTTTCATTAAATTTTATCACCCAGATATTAGAGGAATATACCTTAAGACATGTGCTTGGATCTTGAAGCAACCAAAGAAGACAATCAATAGCCATATACTGCCAATCATCTGATGAGCGAGCAATATTACACAAAGCTTCGATAATGCCAGGACAGCTAGCAACAGGTCCCCTACCAAGCTTATGATGACAGATGGTTCTTAACAAACCAATACCAGCTGGTGAGTTTTCATTAACAAGTCCACCCCACATTCCTGGTAGTTTTACAAGAAATTCAGGTTTGCATATGGTGGGAAGAAACTCAGGCTTAAAAGCAAAGCAATTAATGAGTTGAAGGGACCAACATTGCAGCTGACTGGCCCATTCTTCAGCCTTCCTTGACTCCATTTCAACACCACCCATACCACGAGTAAGCAAATCACAGTGATAACTTAGCCTCCTATCAACATATTGATAAAAGTGAGAGTAAACTATTTCCAGTGAACTTATTGCCAGCTGAATGGAGACCTCAAGAATTTCTCCATGACTTGCTACAGCAGGAAAAGTGCTTGTATATGTAGCCAAGTGTCCTAGAGCTCGCACTGCCACTCTTTGTTCAACCCAAGTCAACCTCCCTCTCAAAAGCTCAACCAAGGGAGGAATTACACTAGCATGCACAGCAGTTTCAGCGAACTCTTCGATGTTCATGGTGTAGGATCCAATAATATGTGCGGCATAATAAGGAATATATATGTTTTGGTCATGAGAAAGCCAGCGGCGATTTTTGAGACCCTTCCATATTAGTGCAGCCATGCACTCAAAGATCCCCAACTCAATGAATTCAGGATCATTAGGATGTGCCATGGCAGTATTCCAAAGGCCACTGATAGGTAGAACTTGACCATCATCATCTTGTGAAGGAAGATCTCTAAAGAATTTCAGAATACTGGCTCTGCGCTTACTGGGATTTCCTTCCTTCATGACACAGAAAAAGCACCCTGGGTATGGACAATCCGGAGATACTTTATCCATGTTCAGATTGTTATCTGCATAAGATTCATATGGCACCAAGTAGATTTCTCACCACATGGGAAATCATATAAGAAAGCCTCAACACTGCATAACAATGATGATTTAGATCAGCATCTAGCTTGCAAAAGAAGAAATTTGTTTAAAACTATATTTTTACAGCAGTGGTAAGAAAAGAAAGGAGCTTGACTCTCTGGTAATGGCAAGTATGGATCTCTATGTTTATAACCATCATAATGAACCTAAACCATATATTTTTATTAAAAAGCAAATTCAGTACTCTCTTATCAATCACCAAACAAATCCAGTGCTCTCCGATCTCATTTATGCAAGCTGATAAAGTTGCAAAAAATCCAGAATTACTCATTATTTCTACATATTACTCTAAATTCTTTTGAAGTTAAAATGTTTACATTTTCAATTTATTCTTAATCAATTGCATAGCTTCTTTTTTTTCTTCTAAGTACACGTGAAAGTCCATTGAGCTTGAGCTACAAAAAAGGTGGTAGCCATTTCCCATCACAAAAACACCATTCTCCCAACCCCAAGATTCAAACATGAGACCTCTAGGTTAAAGTTTTAAATTCTAACAGTTTACAGTGTCCCCTTGGGGACCGATTGCCTAATTTCTAAATACAATCTGTCACTTTCTCTGGTTTCTACTAGATTTCATCGAACATACATCCCAACCTAAAATTCCAAAAATTAGAGGGCAATAAGCATGCAAGATATATACTTTTTTATTATATTTGACTTGTCCTTTTGCAGAGTATGTAAGCTGAAAATGACCAAAACCAGCTCCTTAGGCAAGTAGCATCTTTGACATTATATGCAAATTGACAGTGCTCTTCAAACTGAAAGAACCTTCCTAGTCAAATCCAAATTCAAGTGAAGAAAACAAGACTAAAAAAAAGCTAAACAAAAACCCTCAATATTGCATGGAAAAAATATTTATTTTCTTTTCACTCGTTTACCTTTACGTATACTATTATGCCTATGAAGTATAACATTTAAGCATCTGTATCCACTTCGAATACCAACGAAAAGAAGACTAAAAATAATCGAACAAAGTCAAAATAATTCCATTACTTCCCTAATGTCTAAGCCAAAAAATGATAATGCTGCAAAATTATTTCAATCTTAGTTTACAAGGATATTAAGACAAAGTAATAACTTAATTGAAATATATATAAACTCTCAAGCACAAAATGAGCATCATGGCATGAACAAACAAAGAGCATGGCTTATTCTGATCTCAGCTACCACATTCTGCGATGAATTGGATCTAAAGTGCAATGCTTTAATTAACAAAATTAATCACATCAAGTTCTTAATTAAGATCCAAAATTCTCATTTTAAAAAAATAAAAGAAAAAGCACTCACAAAATCAAACAATCCAGTGAAGAAAACAAAACCCAGAACCTATTATTTCCCTCCAAACCTTTGCTTTGATGCTTATATGAACAGTAGAATATAAACTTGAGTTTTAGAAGGGAAAAAAAATCCGAACTTTTATAAAAAGAAAACCCAGTAATAAATAGTCAAAAAAACAAAGAAAGATGATACCTTGAAAGAATCAGTGTCTGCTAAAAACACAAAAAGGAAAAGGCTTTTTCTTTTATTTTTCTGTGGTAGAGCTTTCAGTTCTTTGCTCAAAATGTGAACTTTGAAGAAGCAAGGCAGAGAGAGAGAGAGAGAGAGAGAGAGAGATTATTGTAGCTGAAACTAAGAGGTACTTTTGTTCTCGTTTTTTCTTTTTTTTCCTTCTTCTTCTCCTTATGTCTTCTTTTGGGTTTGGATTCTGACAGCGAAGTGAAGAAGATCTTGCTCCTGTAAGGAAAGCTTGAAAATGAAAATTAAAAGTAAAGAGGACCAACACTGTTTTAATGCAATAGAGAAAATCCATTTTTATAACTAAAAATTATTCAATTCCACGTGCGATTGTGTCCTCACGCGCTGTGGGAACCACTGAAAGCAGCACTTAAGAGGGGTTTGATTGGGTGGTGGGTGAGGTAGCAGCGGTATAGCGCGTGGGGAAATTATATGGAAAGGGTGTCCGTTTTTTAAATGGGCCAGGCCTTATTTCCTTTGGTTGTATTATTATTGCGGTTTTTTTCCTCTTTAGTTGTGGGCTATGGTCCCATGCTCTAACACGCCTGTCTCTGTTCTTTCTCACCGTTTTGAAAATATGGGGGGAAGTGAAATTACTCCAAGAGTCCCTGCTACTCCTATTTTCATAACGTTCACCCCATACTCTTCTCCCGTACAATCCTTGTTGAAAAAGAATTATCCACGGTAAAAAATTCCCGAATTTTACAGGCATAAGTTTATAGAAATACCATATATCTATTAAATTATAAAAAAAATTAAATTAACATAAGAACTTAAACTCATATGATAATAAATAATTAAGCTTTCAATCTAATTGTGGTAATTTAAAAATCTTGTATTTGGCTCAGAGGAAAAAAATCAAGTTTTTATTACTTTTTGTCATATAGTTTAAAACTCAATAAATTTTTAGAATGTAAAAAAAAACATTTTTTTATAAGAAGTATATATACTAAAAGGTTCTTACTTATAAATGAATTAACAATTATCAAGATAATTCTTATGATTTGATCAGTTTTACTTTTACGAAGCATCAATTTTTATTTTTCTATTAGGGAATGTTTGATATGATGTAAAAGGAAGACATTCTTTGCAATTTAAATGGCTGCAATCAATTAATAACATTTGGTTGAGTTTAGAAGGATGTGATGTGCTTACAATTATAATCATGTTATAATAAGAGAAGCCAATGTTATTCCTTTTTCGCATTAAGGGAAAGTAACTTTCTATCTATCTTCAAAAGGAAAGTTGCATAATTTTTCTTTTCCAAATTAACCTCCTCTTCTTCATGCCTAATTCATTTTCTTCCTTCTTGTCTTCATCTCCTTCTTTCTTCTTGCCTTTTTCTCCTTCTTCTCACCTTGCTTTATTCTCTTTCTTCTTACTGTTCGTATGAAAATAGCCTGTCACCAACACATTTGGATTAAATTTCACCACCAAATTTAAAAAGTAGAGAGATTAGGACTTTGGATTTTATGAAATCTTAATTCAAATTTTCAAGAAATTTGAAAGTGTTTTGAGAAAAATTTATGCTTTTGATGTCAAAAATTGAAAAAGAAATACTTAAATGGTTCAGAATCAATAACATTTATTAAGAAATTGAGAAGATTTGAGAGGGAAAGATTTAGTGCAAGCCTCAGGAATGTTTAAAATTAAATATCTATCGATAGATTACGTTCAAACTTTTAACAATTATTACTTATCTATTGATAAATAGTATAATCTATCGATAGATAATATGATCTATCGTTAAAATTATCTATTTGTCGATAGATTTGTTTTTGGATAATTTTTTTATTTTTAATTTTTATAAGTTTAAGGTGAAAATAAATATTTAATAATTTTATATATTTTAATATTTAAATAATTAATATAAAAATATTATGTTATTTTTTAATGTTATTATTTTAATTATTTAAAATTGAAAAGTAAAATTTTATATTAAAAATTATAAATTTATTTAACTTATATGTTTTTTTATATATAAAGGTAATTTTATCAATTTATATTATATTATCAGTAAAATGTTTACAAACTAAATACTACAGTGTAATTCTCTCAGCAATCATATTTTCTATAATCATTATTTTTCCTTATTATATTAAACGCTGTAAAATTATATTTTCAACAATCATATACTCAGCAATCACATTTTTAGTAATATATTAAACGCAACCTTAGTTTATACACTTGGGTTACTTAACGAAAAGTAAAATTCACTCTCCACACAAACACCTAGCATAATGCTGGAATCATGTTTCTTACTTACATGTTAGTGGAGGGTTTTCTGGAAAAGTTAAACTAGGTTCAATGCATTTTACAACTTGTTTTGTGAACATCTTTTTGCATTAAAATCTTGATGGAATCATTATGTGGGCGAAAACATCATTGAACTTTGCTTTGATGCACCTCCTAAATGAAATATTAGGCAATGCAAATGTCCTTTTCTGATCCTCATATGTAGAAAAAAAATATGTAATTACTGGTTTAAATATTATATGTATCTAACCCTAATAAAATTTTTAAAAGCCTTTCATCTGGTTTTGTTTTTTGGGTGGTAAAAATCTGAAATTTAAGATTCCAAATCAAATTGTCTGTAGAATGCCCAACATTGATAGAGACATGTTATTTTGATATCTCAAGAGTACTACTGCTATCCCCACCAAATATATATATTTCATTTCATGTTCAACATTGCAATTCATCCTTTAGATATTGTTGGCTTTTTGTACTTTTTTTACAAACATTCTATTTCATGGCAAGTTATTGAGTTATATATACATACTGGTAAATTATAAATCATATATATATATATATATATAAAAGCTTTTCAAGCAGGAGATGGATTGAACGAATTAGGATTGTTGCTTTTGACTCCAAGAAAAGAGATGGCTAGGCAGTGGCATCCAACCCCATGACATAGACAACTCAGCTTATCGATTTTTTTTGGATCTACCACCTTTCACTACATGTCCCATGCACAATTATGGCTCAAAAAATAAGACTGCTAACACTGCTGAACATGAACAATATTTGCACATGGATCTCACGAGTTTGTTTTCTAACTTTCTTTTTTCTTTTTATGTATAAATGTTGAGGTTCGAGGAAGGGGTTACTTGGGTTCGGACCCGAACTTAAACATGTCTTACAGAAGGTTCCTAGTGCCACAAATGCCAAGTAGTATACTGAAAAGCATGAAATATATTTGGTTTGTTCATATACAACTCATGTTGGGAAAAACTTTATTAATGATATATTTTGTGGAAATTGGATATATCTCCAATTTGCTAAAAGGATTTTTTTTTCTGTTCTACAATAAATAAATCACATGCTAGATATTTTTGATGATGTAACATTTACTAATAAAAATTAATTGAACCTTTTTGAGTAGATTGGAAAGTGCTTAAACCTAATTTATTGTTGAGGCTTTGACACCATGTATATCTTTAGCATACATGAGGAAATCGAGACTCTTCTCATCGTTTAATCTTTTTAATTCAAATGGTACAAGATTTTTGTGAAATAATTTGCGTTCATAATGCAAATCTGAGAAGAGAGTGCCCTAACAGTGAATCCATCATACTAATAATTTATCCCTAAAGTTACCATATAGCAAAAATTAAGGCATCGGCATTGATATCATGGTTCATTCTTGTGTCCATCTCTTTTACATGCAACAATGGCAAGAGCCAAGAATTAAGTTCCAAGTCAACTAGCTAGTCCAGTTCTGTATTGGTTGTCTTTGTTGTGGACCTTGAAAGCCTTGTTTCAACCTTTCTTGTAGTTGAAGAGAGCCACAAAACATTAAACCCGTCTCTTTCATTTTTTGGGTGGAAGTCTTTTTCATTTTGGGAGTTAGTGTGCAAAGCAATTAAAACAATGGCTAGGGTGCACAAGGTGGGATATGGCTTAGCTAGAAGATAAAAAAATAAATAAATTGATGGCAATTTTTGTATTGTACTTCACACGACTTTTTGGAGACAAACAGGGACCCAATGCCCATGCCCATGGATTCATATATTTGGCAAATGAATTTGAAATTGGAATTGGATTTGTGTTGGAGAATTTCTCTCTTTGTTTTTGTTTGTATGTATGAGAGAGAGAGAGAGAAGGTGACTTTTCTAAAGTTTCAAAATTCCATTTCTTCGTATTTGTAGCTTCCTTTTGGAGTTGTCATTTCTCACGTTCTTTTTCTTTTTTGGGTCATTACGCCATTTTCACTAATGTTCACTCGACCAATTAATATTTGTGTGGACTGAACGGTGAACAATTTTGATAATTTATCACAATTTATTTAATATAAATATAAAAAAAAAACAAAAATTTTGACAAACAGAAAAGTAATTATCTTACATGAATAGTTTAGATAAAATTTACCGGTCATTTGAATTATATGTTTGATTTTATTTGATTTGATCCAAAGATTATAAATATGATGCGAAGATTATCAAAGACATTAAATCGAATATTCTAAAAAAAAAGAATTTTAGTCAAAATTTAATATATTTTTATACTTTTTTTTTCACAAAGATGTACCTATACTTTGTAAAAGAGAAAGATAATATAAAATTAACCATTTGAGTCCATGTAAATTTTTATTTTAGCGTAGTACACTCTTTTTTTAATAAAATTGTTCATTGCATGTTAAAAACTTTTAAGAGAATTATAAATATTAAATTTGTATCTTCATGATATTTCAATTAGATATTCATACGTGTATGTACCCATATGCATATATGTAACATGTGTGCTATTCGATTATAAGTGACTATTCGTATGTATGTTTATAAACATACAAACAAAAGAACATTAGTCGATGTCCTTCAAACAAAATGAAACAACATTCTCACCTTTGCAGAAAACCCTAGTTCTTCCAAGATTATTCCATTTAGTTACTAATTTTATTTTCAAAAGAAATAGTTACTATTTTGTTTAAAAGAGAACGCAGAAAATATATATTATAATAGAAGCAATATTTGCAATATTAATTAATTTAAAATTAAAAAAAGGTTCATTTTGACCCAAAAGCAAAATTGAAAATATACTAGTAACATTTTCGCTAACATCCTTTGAAATATTTTGCAGATGACCATAACCTAACCCTGCTGGCTGAATTTGCTGCATTTAAACCCAAAAGCAAATTCATCCGGACCCATTTTACGGGGGCTACTTGCATTCTAGCCAGCCGTCTGAGATAGAAGAAACAGCAGTTTTTGGGCCACAGCCGGTTAATAAATTCATAGATTACAATACGTAT